GGATAATGGCAAAATACACAACACTTCCAGATGCCCCTTTTTATTATAACCAATGATCAGAAATAATTAGAAAAAAGAGAATGAACACTCTGGGGATATTAAGGGTAGTTTAGACAGAGTTCTGTCTGCCAGCCATACTTCCATTAATTACCGTCAGTTTAAAAGGATATGCAAAAAGTTTCTATTCATATTTCACGGTTTTATTGGATATTTAGTTACAAATGTGTAGGAATTTAAATAAATAAATAAAACCAGTTTACGGTTCAAGAACCAAATTTGCAGGTTCTTGAAGTACTTGTGCCATCCTCACTTTGGGTTGCATGTTTCAGGAATGTTAATGGCCATAACCGTGGCCTCCTGCTGAACGGTGGGGAGCGACGTGCCTGCCCACAGATGACCCACCATGGACACCATGAGACACACCATAGGTTGGTTGATAAGGCGTATAGCTTGTATGGTGACCACCATATGTTGGTTGATAAGGCGTATAGCTTGTATGGTGACCACCATAAGTTGGTCTATGAGGCGTATAGCTTGTGTGGTGACCACCATAAGTTGGTCTAGGGGGAGTGTAGCTTCCATGGTGGCCCCCATGATGGCTACCATAGCTTGGTGTATGGGGCGTGTAGCTGGACTGATGACCACCATAAACTGGCCTTGGAGGGGTGTAGGACCCATGAAGTCCCGTGGAGTGGCCGTGAGCAACACCATGGCTACCGTGAGCAACACCATGGCTACCGTGAGCAACACCATGGCCACCATGAACAACACCATGGCTACCATGACCTATATGAGGTCTGGATGAGACTGACCCATGATGGGCTCCACCTGAGGAGTGGACGTCAGCGTGACCACCGGCCACCAGCACCACCACCACGGCCACTAGCAGCTTCTGTATGATAAAGTTGACATAATCCATTAATTATACGTATAACAGTACGATACAGGAATAGACACAGTTAATTAAGTGACTAATTAAAAAGGTTGTATTAAGTGCACCGAGTTTTATAAATATGTTGTATAATAACTGTTTTATTTCTTGCCTAATACTAAGGATTTTATAACAACTACAAATCCTGAAAACTTATAGTTCATATTTACGTTAATAACCAATTATAATATAAATTATTAAAATATTCCCCAATGCAAAGGCCTTGTATTACCTTTTAAAGTTTGCTGTGTTAAGTTTATCATATTTCTAAAACAGTGAGATTATTAAGTATAAATTCAACATTATTAGGAATGTGTGATATTTAGTACTGTTATTCACTGTGTCTAAACTGTATTTGTTTTCTAAGTTGATTATCTTAAAATTCATTGTTATCTTGAGAACTCTTAAGATCCAGAGAAGTAAGAGATGTTTACCATGTCGAGGTTGAGAAACAAGTTGTCAGTGTGGGGCCGTGGACGTCTTTTATAGCACCCGGTGAAACCAACCTCGGCTGTATTTTAAGAGGTAACGCCCATCGGCTTAGGCAAGGACGCGCTAACTTTTAAACATGCTCCTGTGTACAAGAGATTTTCGTCTCACGTTTTTGTTGGAAATGTAAAGCACAAAATTTCTATGGGGTGCCCCTTTGTGTGTGTGTGTGTGTGTGTGTGTGTGTAGTAATAATAATAATAATAATAGTAATAATAATAATAATAATAATAATAATAATAATAATAATAATAATAATAATAATAATAATAATAATAATAATAATAATTAACGGTTTATTGAGAAAGTTCTGCAGCCCCAATACTGAAAATATACATTAGCCAAAAATTACTTATTAAATACAAAGACATGGGGTAGGTGTCACAGTACCTCACTCTCATCTAGGAGGTGTTATGTTATCTTGTAGTAAGGTGTAAAGCCGGCCCCTCGTTGTTCCCAGGGTGGAGTGATTAACACCACCTGGTCAGGAGATTGTGGTTGGTTCCCAGGGGTGCTTATCTTGCTGGTGGATCGTGGCTCTCGCTGGTACTGTCTAGTGCTGAATTCACCAGCTTAAATACTGTTCATCACTGTACAACACTGATCCCACTGCTTTACGAAACGAAATTGTCACTTTTGATTATGTTGATATCCCAGGGTGAGGATGGGTTGGGGAGAGGGGCGTGGGGAATGGCCGAACATAGCCAAGAGGGGCCGCTGCACGGCAGTAGCAGCGTCTGATAGATCAAGGATGTAGTGTGTGTGTGTGCGTGTGTGTGTGTGTATGTGTGTGTGCTCTCTCGCATTCAGCTACCGCCGCAGGTTAGCTCTCGTGGCGAACAGGGAAACAGCTTGCTGAAGTTTTCCCCTGCCAGTACACAGCCCCTTCACCATGAAGAGTCAAGCTGTGCCTCCTTGTGGCAACACACAGTAACTGGGTGCTTCGTGGGCAGAGGCTAGACCAGCAGTCCCAGAGGGACTGCGCATAGACTCACTGGCATGTGGACACATCCTGGTGCCTACCAACCACTGTCCCGCTGCGTTGCAGATTAACCTTGGTAGGTATAAGGCTATGGGAGTAAACCCCGAACGAAAAATCTGTCATGGAGCCCCGCATCAGACAGGCACGCTTAGAGAATTCCAACAAGACCCCAACGGCGGTATAGGCGGAGCAGGTTACCAACATGGGAACCCAATAACTACACCGACAGGTGAAGGCAATGTATGATGGACACGCTACTAAGGCGAAACCCAACAAACTGGGCTATCGGCAGTTCATTGCAACTCTCCTTCTCCCCAGTCGGTGCAACACTAAATCACTCACGTCATGCCTTCCTCATCAGTGCATACGGCCCAGCACTGGATGCAGACGATGGCATCAAGGAGGCCTTTTATGCAGACCTCGACAAAGTACCAACCTCTATCCCCAAAGACCATAAGACTGTGCTCCTTGGTGACTTCAATGCCAGAGTTGGCAGAGATACTGACATTTGGCAGGGAACCACAGGGAGAAATGGACTAGGCAAGTGTAATCCCAACGGACTACTCCTCCTCAGCTAGTGTGTTGCACACAACCTAACTATCACCAATATCTTGTTTGGGCAAGCAGACAGGTTCAAGGGTTCGTGGTAACACCCACGATCCAAACACTGACATTTCATTGACTACATCATTGTCAGAGAAAGAGATCGCCGAGGTGCCTCATCACCCAACCCATGCGTGGATAAGCCCACTGCGACACAAATCATCAGATCATCAGAGTTAAGCTCTCACATCAAGTTGCCCCAAAACGGTCTGCCAGATAGAGAAAAAGTGCACAGAATAGCGTCATGACCTGTACATGAACTTCATCGCCCTAACCAAGGCCTTCGACCCAGTAAACAGAGAAGCTCTCTGGCGGACGCTCAGCCGTTTTCGCTGCCCACCAAAATTCATCGCGATTGTGAGGCAACTCCACGATGGCATGAGCGACAGTGTCCTGCACAATAGCACCCAGTCTGAGACGCCCCCCCCCCCCATCCAAATGGAGTTAAAACAAAGATGTGTACTAACACCAACTCTCATTTCAATTTTCATGGCTGCCTTCCTTACTTATGCCTTACTTATGAAGGGTCTTTTCAACATAAGACCAATCCAGGCAGGAACAAAGGTGTTGGCAGCTTCCATTACTGAACTTCGGTATGCAGACGACCTCACCCTTGTCGCTCACAGTGAACGCGACCTACAGGAGATCCTGAACACCAGTGCAGATGCGTATGCACACTTCGGCCTTAAGGTGAATATATGTAACACTCAGATTCTCTTTCAGTCTGCCCCTGGTTTACCACACCTCCACCATTCATCCAGCTTAACAGTACTACCCTCTCTAATGTTACCCACTTTCGGTATCTCGGCTCCCACCTGTCCACCACCGCGGACATCAATGAAGAAATTCATCATTGGATCAGATGTGCATCTCAAGCCTTTGGCAGACTCCGTACCCGTCTCTTCCGCTGTAGGAAGCTGAAATTTTTTACAAAGTTGCACATATATCGAACAGTGGTCCTCCCCACCCTTCTATATGGCAGCGAGACACTGGTTAAATACAGTAAGCACCTCAAACCACTTGAAAGTTTCACCAAGGTAACCTATGTTCCATCCTCTGAGTTCGCTGGAAATACAAGAGAACAAATGCCAGTATTCTTGCTGACACCAACTCCAAGAGCAACGAGGCTACCATTATCCATGATGAACTACGCTGGACTGGCCATATTACCCACATGGACGACAGTAGACTACCAAAGCAGCTACTTAACAGTCACCTAACGAATAGCAAATGTAATGCTGGCGGGCAACTGAAAAGGTATAAGGATAGTCTTAAGACAAACCTTAAAAAGTACCAAATCGACCCCCTCACCTGGGAGACGATTACTCCAGACCATAACGCTTGGAGGAGCACCACACGAGAAGGTGTCAATGCTTTCGAGATAGCCCGACTGCATACCGAGGCAGACAAGAGCTAACGCCGGAAAGACGCCGCCGCCACCCCTCCCGCACTAGATGCAGCCCCCACATGTGCAACATCTGTGAACGACCCTGCCAGTCCCTTTTGACAACCATCTAGGTCGCGGTCCAGAGATAATATCAAATGATGCATTTGATTGTTAACACACTCCAATTCAATGTCACCTGTAAGTTAATTTCTAAATCCATTGTCCGTTTTCACAAAGATATACAATAGCTTAAATATGAAACTCATTTCTCCAAGCAGCAACTTGTAGTATGTCTCTCATTTTAGAATACAATATATAAACCAAGAATTGTTCACGAAATACCTGGACACTTGTATTCCCTCATTCATGACTGGTCAGAATCTTTAATCCAATGGTAGAATGATCACAACGAAACTAATATGAATAATGGTAAAATACACAACACATCCACAAGTTCCTTGTTATTACTATCAATGATCTGAAAGATAATCAGAAAAAAAAAGAGATTGAACACTATGGGGATATGAAAGGGATTTTAGACAGAATCCTGTCCGCCAGCTATACTTCCATCAATTACCGTCAGTCTAAAAGGATATGCAAAAATTTTCTATTCATATTTCATAGTTTTATTGGATATTTAGTTACAAATGTTTAGAAATTTAAATAAATAAATAAAACCAGTTTACGGTTCAAGAACCACATTTGCAGGTTCTTGAAGTACTTGTGCCATCCTCACTTTGGGTTGCATGTTTCAGGAATGTTAATGGCCATAACCGTGGCCTCCTGCTGAACGGTGGGGAGCGACGTGCCTGCCCACAGATGACCCACCATGGACACCATGAGACACACCATAGGTTGGTTGATAAGGCGTATAGCTTGTATGGCGACCACCATAAGTTGGTCTAGGGGGAGTGTAGCTTGTATGGTGACCACCATAAGTTGGTCTAGGGGGAGTGTAGCTTGCATGGTGACCACCATATGTTGGTGTATGAGGCGCATAGCTTGTGTGGTGACCACCATAAGTTGGTCTAGGGGGAGTGTAGCTTGCATGGTGACCACCATATGTTGGTGTATGAGGCGCATAGCTTGTGTGGTGACCACCATAAGTTGGTCTAGGGGGAGTGTAGCTTGCATGGTGACCACCATATGTTGGTGTATGAGGCGTATAGCTTGTATGGTGACCACCATAAACTGGCCTTGGAGGGGTGTAGGACCCATGAAGTCCCGTGGAGTGGCCGTGAGCAACACCATGGCTACCATGAGCAACACCACGGCTACCGTGAGCAACACCATGGCTACCATGAGCAACACCATGGCTACCGTGAGCAACACCACGGCTACCGTGAGCAACACCATGGCTACCATGAGCAACACCATGGCTACCGTGAGCAACACCACGGCTACCGTGAGCAACACCATGGCTACCATGAGCAACACCACGGCTACCATGACCTATATGAGGTCTGGATGAGACTGACCCATGATGGGCTCCACCTGAGGAGTGGACGTCAGCGTGACCACCGGCCACCAACACCACCACCACGGCCACTAGCAGCTTCTGTATGATAAAGTAGACATGTTAATTATACGCAACATACGATACAATACATAAATAGACGCACAATTATTGAGAGGCTCATTACTTGCCTGGTAGATTTTTCAAAACAAATACAGGAAATGAAGAAGAATTTCACTTCATCTTTCCATTAAAAACTTTTTGGTTTTAATATCATTCGTATGACCATTTGTCTTATGTACAAGATTTGGTTTTCTTTTTGAAGCTTTTAATGATCAGAGTTTATGTATTCACTTTACAACAATTTGTATATTATTTCGGTAAAGTTAAAAATTTATGTTTATTACGTCAATAGGTCTATTAGTTTTGTAGAATATGGAAGTTTGGTCAGCTTATATCATCGTTATGTACATATTGAAAACTCGTAAGATCGAGAGAAGTAAGAGATGCTTACCATGTCGAGGTTGAGAGACAAGTTGTCAGTGTGGGGCCGTGGATGCCTTTTATAGTCCACACATGAGCTATTTTAGCACCTGGTGAAACCAACCTCGGCTGTATTCTGAGAGGCAACGCCCATCGGTTTAGGCGAGGACACGCGAACTTTTAAACTGGTTCCTGCATACAACTGATTTTCATGTTTCAATTTATTTTAGAAGATATGTTAGACACGAATCAAAATTTGTTTGTGTTCCTTAATGGATTTAACAAAAGCATATATAATGTATTTTTATAACAAAAATTAATTATATGTAAGTTTATGTATTAAAGATTTTGTTTGGACATTATGCATTATTAGGAATAATGTCTTCATCTCAATAATTCCTCGCTGCATCTCTCATTATACCCCTGAGTGTTCATCAGTGTATCTTCCTCTTACTCTCATTATATAATCATTTATTTCTCTTCCCTCTCTTCTTTTACCTCTTGTTTTTTTATTTAATTTGCCTTCTATTTTATCTATATGGATTGATCTTTTCTCAGACGCTGTACAAAATTATTTTAAAAATCACGTCTTTACGACTATTGAAAATAAACAGATATCATATAATCTCAGAACTACAATTACTGTTTTAAGGAAATACATGTATCATTATTATCAGTTTACTCTTCTCGTTACTCCATCTAAATTTTCCTTGATGAACGGAGGTAGACCGAAAAAAAACAATTAAAATTATACCCCAATTCTTCAAGCCTTAATTGTTGTCCATTTAATCGTACAGTAGTGTTGTAAAATACATCATCTGATGAGACAGTCCCTTGCAACAAGAAAAAATAAATCTGGTGTCATCACGTCGCTTCACAAGAACCAGCGTCACATTGTCACCAAGAAGCCTTTCGATAAAATCCTCTGCACATCTTACGAGGCGTTCATTCATATACACACCTACAATATCTCCTACATGTCCACCCACCTTAGTTCTTTTGCATCCATCACCTCATCGTTTATTTTTCTTCTTGGTCTCTCCTTCACCCTGTTACCCTCCATCTCCGAACAATTCGTAGCCCGTAGGTAGTGATCTCATAGTTTAAATAGATTATAACAATAATTGGTTTTCCATGAGACGCTTGACCACCAGTGGTTTTGTATTCATGAAAGGCGTTTTATTTATTCCCCAAGTATCGAGAACACAAAATAAAACAAATAAAGGTTATGGTGAAGGAAACAACTCATTATAGATGCCTTTGTTTCTGTGACAGTGTCAGGAAACTCTGTAATCAGAGAATATAATATAAACAATTATATAGATCAGGATTCTGGTTAGTGTCATGAGTATAATCAATAATATATAAAATTATCTTCACTTTCAAGGGGTATTCATAAATATTTATATTCATACTTCATAGGTTTTATTTTATGTCAATAACACATTCCAAAATATTATAAATATATAGTTAAGCCCAATTTACTGTTCAAGAATAATTGTGACCACAAGTTCTTCCAAAAAAATTTTATTATCACCAGTTCGTATTGTATGTTAAAAGATTCTTAATGATGACGGCCGTAGCCTCCTGTTGAACCGTGGGGAGCGACGTGCCTGCCCACAGATGACCCACCATAGACTCCATGAGACCCACCATATGTTGGTCTATGTTGCGTGTAGTTTGTATGGTGACCACCATAAGGTGGTGTATGAGGCGTGTAGCTTGTATGGTGACCACCATAAATTGGTGTATGAGGAGTGTAACTTCCATGGTGGCCGCCATGAAATGGTCCATTCGGTGCGGGAGGAAAAAAAAAGAGACCCACTAACGGTCACGCTTTGATACAAATTGATAGTACCTGACAAGGCTACATTAGGAAAAAAACACCATTACATTGATTCATAGAGTGAACATAGAGATTCATGGTCACTGTGTTAATTATAGCTCTCTCTCTCTCTCTCTTTCTCTCTCTCTCTCTCTCTCTCTCTCTCTCTCTCTCTCTCTCTCTCTCTCTATTCGTGTTTTCTCCCATTCTTTCTATTTCTCATAGAGTGAACATAGAGATTCATGGTCACTGTGATTAATTATCGGCAGCTGCCTCTCTATCTCTCTCTCTATTCTCTCTACGTTCTCTCTTCTCTCTCTCTCTCTCTCTGCTCTCTTCTCTCATGGTCTCTCTATTGACGTGTTTTCTCCCATTCTTTCTGGATATTTCTTCATCCCTTGTGTGTAAATGGTGATTTAGCTCTTGCTTTATTCAAAATTTTCAAGTGTTCTCTTATAAAAAGAAATCTAAAGAAGTTATGTTAATGAGATGTTGTCCTTCTCTCTCCTTCGGTCGGCTTTGCTCTGCCTCAGGGGAACGAGAGCTTCTGCCCCTACTCCGACAACTGCTGCAGTATTGACTATGAGGCTACAGTCACTGAATGCCGCATAGATCTGCGGCTCAACTAATTTAACACAGAAGGATAGTATGTATTAGGATATTTAATATTAAGGTAAATAAATGGCGGCGAAGGTGTGGCTATTGGGGGTAGCAGTAGCAGTAACAGTAACAGTAGCAGTAGCAGTAGCAATAGCAGTAGCAGTAGCAGTAGGAGACAGCCACCACAGTGGAATGGCATGTCGATGGAAAATGCGAACACATGGGTTAAAGAAACTTACTCAGAAATTGTCAGGTGGTCGCCATCTAACCTGTTTGAACCACCCAAGTGTGCGGCCACCATTGAAATGATTCGGGAGATAACTCGCCTCATAACCGAGTACACTCAGGACTGCTTCCTTGCCCCTTTAGCTCTTCTGTCAGAGGACACACACAAGGACTAAGCACAAAGAAAATGAGGCAGCAATGAAGAGAAGATTGACAATGTGGCAGACTGGGGCCCTTGATGATCTCCTATGTGAACCAAGAACACTGCAGGAGAGACTAAAATATATATGAGACGGAAAGCAAAACACCGATGACGTTGAGGGAAAGTTTGGAACAAAATGCGTGTGGGACAAGTGTCTTTGGCGGTAAGATCTCTCACAGAGGAATCCGCCGGTGGGGTTCTGCCAATAAACAGAGAGACATTAAAACAACTGAAAGAAAAACATCCCCCTGCAAGTGAAGAGGAAGGCATGAGGTTCCAGGGTGACTATATCCCACCAAATGCTGTAATGTTCGAGAAAAACAGGAGGAATGGTGTGGAAAAAAGCACTGAAGACTCAGGGAGGTGCCGGCCCTTCAGGCCTGGATGCAGACGGTTGGAGAGTCATCATCAGCACTAACAAGTTTGGCCCTGTAGCAAGTGATCTCTGCACTGCTATTGCCGCCCTTGCAAGAAAGCTAGCAACCTCATGCTGCCAACACCTCCAGGCTCTGACGGCCTGTCGCCTCATTCCCCTGGATAAGAATCCAGGATCATCACCAACATTTGTAAACACAGTGTGTATACATTTTTTCTGAAACTTTACAATGTGTATACAGAAATTGTACTAAGATTTATATAACGTGGGTGATAGAGATTAGGTGCAGAGAAAGAGCGAAAGGAAAAGAGAGACAGACAGGCAGATAGAGAGATAGAAGAAACAGAAAGAGTAAAAAGAGAATGAAAGAGAGAGAAAAAGAGAAAGAAAATCAGACAGTGAGATAGAGAAGAGAAAAAGAAAAGAAAAGAGAGAGAAGACATCAGTGCCAGATTTAGACCTGTGGAGGCCCATGGGCAGCCTCTTTGTGGAGGCCCTCCTCATTATAACTACCCAAGAGGGTGGGGTGGTGAGTGAAGCGAACCTAAACATCTGGGAGTTCCGGGGGGCGCTGTAAGACCCCCGGGGAAAATTTTGAAATTTGAACACTTCTTTGGAGGATTTTGAAGCCATTTGCAGTTATATTGAGGAAATTAGAACATTGAGAAATTTTTAATTTACTGTATATTTATTGATAGTGTACAAATTCCCAACACACACACACACACACAAAAGTGAGACATGACTGGAGTCATTCATGTGGTTTCAAGTCGACCAGCCCTGATATGTGGAGGCCCCCAGATTGTGGAGGCCCCTGGGCAGCTGCCCACTTTCCCCACTCCTGAATCCGGCCCTGGAAGACATAGAGATAGAGAAAAAAGGAGTAGGGGAGAGAGCAGAAGACAAACAAAAAGACAGAGAGACTGGAGGTCACCACCTAGCGGATATTGGTGTAATCTAGTGTGAACTTATGGTCAGGAAACAACCATTATATAAATACGTGGGAATGTTGTTGGTGTAGACGGTCTCTCTCTCTCTCTCTCTCTCTCTCTCTCTCTCTCTCTCTCTCTCTCCCCCTGTCTCTTTTTTCTCACTAGTAGTATTTTTGTCTGTCTGTTTCTCACGTCCGAGTCACATCCGGGGCCAGCCACACCACACACACAGCCCCGAGGCTAAACACGTTCCCATATAGCATTGAGAGGGAAAGTAACCAAGGTGTGAAGGGAGAAGGGGAGGGGTTCGAGAGAGGGAGAGGGGAGTGAATGGTTTGGAAGAGGAAGAAGAGGGGATGGAGGGAAGTGGAGAAATGAGGGGAGAGGGAGAAGGGAAGGGAAAAAATAACGGAAGAAGGGGGAAAAAAGGGAAAGGTGGGAGAGAGAAGAGGAAAGAATGGAAAGGGGAGAGGAGATATATGGGAAAGTGGGAGAAGAGGGAAAGATGAAAGGGGAGTGGCATGACAAAAGGAAAGAAAAAGAGGAAAGGGTGAATGGGAAGGAATGAAAGGAGACGGGGAGAGAAGGGGGTGAAAGAAGAAAGAGGGAGAGAGTAGAGGGTAGGATGGAAAGGGAGAAATGGGCATGGGAGAGCGAATTGAGGGGGAGGAGAAGGTGGGGGAGTGACGGGGGGGGGAAGAGGAGAGGAGGTGAATGGTTTAGAGTCTCTCTCTAGGAAGAAGAGGATGGAACGCTGAGGGACTGGGAAATTGGGGGGAGGGGAAGGGGAAATCAAAAAATACGGAAGGGAGGAAAAAAGGGAAAGGTGGGAGAGAGAAGAGGAAAGAATGGAAAGGGGAGAGGAGATATATGGGAAAGTGGGAGAAGAGGGAAGGATGAAAGGGGAGTGGCATGACAAAAGGAAAGAAAAAGAGGAAAGGATGAATGGGAAGGAATGAAAGGAGACGGGGAGAGAAGGGGGTGAAAGAAGAAAGAGGGAGAGAGTAGAGGGTAGGATGGAAAGGGAGAAATGGGCATGGGAGAGCGAAAGAGAAGAGGAATGGGTGATAGAAGGGGGGGAATAAGGGAAGAGGAAGAGAGAAGAGGGAATGAGGGAAGAGGGAAAGAGAAGAGAGAAGGATGGAAGGGGAGAAGTAAGGGAAGGAGTGAGAGAAGAAGGGAATGAGGGAAGAGATAGAGGGAAGGGAAAAGGAGAGTAAAGGGGAGGAATGAAGGGAGATAGGACGGAACTTATTACAGACTAAATGCAATTTAATTGGTACTTATTTCACGAGTTACGTTTTTCATCACGTACTTAGTTTTTTTAGGCACTTATATATTTCAAGGTACTTATATTATCAAAGTTCTTATATTGTATACAGTACTTAATATCATTTGAAAGTCATATCTCGGTACTTATATTTGTGGTAGTGACTTATATAGTACTTATATCTATGTGATACTTAGAATTATATGCTACTTATGTTTACAGATTACTTACACTTTACACTATACAGAGTGTTGTGTAGAGTATATTTTTAGCCTAGATATAGCGTGTCGGTTTGGGGTGAAAGCACTTGTGTCACCGTGAAGTAATTGTGCGGCTGCCAGGGTGAAGGTTGAGGAGAGAGAGTGCTTGGCTGGTCTCTCTCTAGAATTAGACAATGTGATAAAGTTGTGGCTAGAATACAGGCACTTCTGGCAAGTTTGTTACGCTGTACCCATACCGGAACACTCAGCATGTAAACTTTGTGATAAATTTTTACAGCATACACTTGAACACAATATTATTGAATATGACACTGTCAAAGACTTCAGGCCACCTGGCTTATTGTATCACGAACTTTGTAATTACTACATTGAATCAGGGGTGCTTGAGGACATTCTTGCTGTTTATTCCAAATTTGCTAGCCCACACTGATTAGTCCTCAAATAGAATATGACGTCCAATGTATATGAACCACTGTCCTGCATGGCAGTGAACAGTACTTGACTCTGACCGATATATACTGCTAATGAATATGATGTATTTCTTTGTGTACGAACCTCTGTCCTGCATAGCAGTGAACAGTGACATTAACCCATATGAATCTGACCTATATATATACTGTTAATGAATAAGATCTATTCCTTTGTGTATGAACCTCTGTCCTGCGTGGCAGTGAGAAGTAATACCACCCTCAGTGTCAAGACCTGACTGAAATACTCAGAACAGGCAAACTGTACTACAAGCTTTGTCAATAAATTTTTTAAGCTAAAAAGAAATCTCTCTCTCTCTCTCTCTCTCTCTCTGTGTGTCTGTCTGTCTGTCTGCCTGTCGATTTATTTATTTGCCGATCTGTTAATCTATCTATCGTCTGTTCATATATCTGTTAATATCCTTCGCTATCTGTTTATTTATGTTTTTCTATCGGTTTCTATCGGTCGATCGGTCGATCGGTCGGTCGGTGTCTGTCTGTCTGTCTGTCTGTGGTTGTCTCTCTCTCTCTCTCTCTCTCTCTACTAAATATTTAATAATTAAAGATACCAATTACAAAATAAGAAAGGTTGTTAAATAAAACAAACTTGATTTCTCTCTTTAAACTGAAATTCTCAAATCATCCCTGAGTTCAGATAGACGCAGAAGTTCTACAACACTTCACTGCTCAATGTTTTTATTCTATATGCCACTTTTCTTTATCATGGCAACCCTTAGACCTTGCATGTCACTGTGTGTGTGTGGATGTGTGTGTGTGTGTGTGTGTGTGTGTGTGTGTGTGTGTGTGTGTGTGTGTAAAGATCAGTATAAGAAACGTTTCAGTACTTGGCACGTCTGTTCACCATGACAACACAGAAAGTTGCTGCGGTGTTGTTTGTGTCTTTTATAGTTCAAAAGGTCAAAGGTTAAGGTCGTATCTTAAACAAAATAATTTGCTATGACCTACTTAAAGAGAAAAATTAAAAACAGAATTGGCTACATCATAATAGAAGGTGAATTATTGCAAGCATCTTGACAACTGAGGCATTTATTAGAGAATTTCTTGCCTGTGAGTAAGTAGGTTTGTGGTTAACCTACAAATTATGACACACACACACACACACACACACACACACACACATATTCTACTACTACTACTACTCTACTACTTACTACTACTTTGCTGTCACTATGAATCGAGTATGACGATCATCCACCTATGATATTATGATAAGAGTTATTAAGGATGTCACCTAGGTTGGTGAGTTCTGAGGTGACTAAAGAGACCGATACGGAACCAGCAGGGTCGATCACAGATGTTGTACATGTGGGGGGGCTACATCTAATTCGGGAGGGGAGGCGGCAACATGGCCAGCCCAGCGAAATTGTTCACCGATAATGGTAGCCTCGATGCTTCTACAGTTGGTGCCAACAAGTATACTGGCATTTAGTCTTGTCTTCCCAGCGAATTCGGAGGATGGAACATAGACTACGTTGGTGAAAGTTTTCAATTGCCTTGAGGTGCCTCCTGTATGTGACTCATGTCTCACTGCCATACAGTATAGCAGGGTGGGGAGGACCACTGCTCGATATACGTGTAACTTTGTGGATAATTTCAGCTCCCTACAGCTGAAGACACGGGTACGGAGTCTGCCAAAGGCTTGAGATGCACATCTGATCCAATGATGAATTTCTTCATCGATGTCCGCGGTGCTGGACAGGTGGGAGCCGAGATACCAAAAGTGGGTAACATTAGAGAATAGTACTATTAAGCTGGACGGATGGTGGAGGTGTGGCTGAACCAGAGTCAGGCTGAAAGAGAATGAGTCTTACATACATTCACCTCAAGGCCGAAGTGTGCATACACATCTGCGGAAGTGTTCAGGATCTCCTGTAGGTCGCGTTCAGTGTGAGCGACAGGGGTGAGGTCGTCTGTCCTCCATAGTTAACCTCAAGAATACGATGACTTAATCCCCTGAAAACAACGACGTCTTATTCATGGCGCTGTCCAATATACTCAAAGGGCTTAGGCATCTTACTGAGAGAAATAGTGCATGGTCGTGAAGGGATTAAGTCATCGTACTCAATATATTAAGATATTATTCAGTCGGTTAAGTCGCTGTACTCAGGTAATTGACATTAGACAGATGTATAAGAAATTCTTCACTAAAAACGTTATTCTCACTATTGTAGGTTTTAATTAATATTCGTATCAATTATTCATCTTTTATTCAAATTTGAGTTATGCATTTCAAAAAATAAATATAATAAATATCTAACACTACAGAGATTAGGTACAAGAATGTTTTCCAGTGGTGGTTATGATCGCCCTGTGTCTTGGCCTGTTTGTGGGTTTTTTATCAGTGTCTTAATGACCATAGCCGTAGCCTCCAGCTGAACCATGGGGACCGCTGTACCCACTGTAGACTCCATGTGGTACACCATAGGTATTGCTAGGGGGTGTGTATCCTCCGTAGGTTGGTGGGGTGTAATAAGGCGTGTAGCTTCCATGGTGGTGACCTCCATAGCTTGGCCTCGGGGGAGTGTAAGTAGGTGTGTAGCTTCCATGGTGGTGACCTCCATAGCTTGGCCTCGGGGGAGTGTAGGTAGGTGTGTATCCTCCATGATGGTGACCTCCATAGCTTGGCCCCGGGGGAGTGTAAGTAGGTGTGTAGCTAGTATGGTGGTGACCTCCATAGCTTGGCCTCGGGGGAGTGTAAGTAGGTGTGTAGCTAGTATGGTGGTGACCTCCATAAGCTGGTGGGGTGTAACTTCCATGAGGCACACCATAAGCTGGAGGGGTATACGACCCATGATTTCCACCAGAAATGCCATGAACTGAACCACCTACGTGAGATCTGGACAAGGCTGAGCCGTGAGAGACTCCCCCACCATGAGGTCTGGTAAACGAAGAGCCATGGGAGACTCCCCCACCATGAGGTCTGGTAAATGAAGAGCCATGGGAGACTCCCCCACCATGAGGTCTGGTAAACGAAGAGCCATGGGAGACTCCCCCACCATGAGGTCTGGTAAATGAGGATCCACGAGAGAATCCCCCACCGTGAGATCTGGATAATGATGACCCATGATGGGCTCCACCTGAGGAGAAATGAGATGAGGAGTGGACGTCAGCTTGACCACCGACGATCAACGCCACCACCACCACGGACACTAGCAGCTTCTGTGACATAAACAGAATAAACATACAGTTAGGTAATAGGAGAAAAAGATTATGTTTATCTGGACATCTAGCTATCAACTCCCATGGTTTTTTGTTTGGGTTAAGAATTGACAGAAATGTGTAACTAATGGCAAAAAATCAATCTGATATTGAGAGATAATGTTGAAGAATGTCACCTCAGAGAGAACACTTGTCCTGTGCTCAGATTTCAGTGTGTTTACAATCGTATTGGTAATAATTTTGATGTTTTTAGACTTCTGTTGTGTTCAGAATACTGGAAAGCATAAAATCTAACAATCTTGTGATTTTTTACATATTCCTTAAACATCCTGATTTTTTATTATAATTTCGATGTGCTTGTAAGTTCACATTGTTTAAAAGTTCAATCTCCTTAGAAATACTCTACATTTAGAATCTGGCTATACTTAGATCTTACTTATATTTAGATATTTAAGTATAGAAATTAAATATACATAGATATCCACTATTGTAAAAAAAAAAAGCTCACTATGTCAAGATTTTCAACATGTTTAAAACTTTAACGTATTTTAAACATTTTGAAGTGTTTAAACGTTTAGAATTTTTTGTAGTTGGGTATTTTTACAACTCATAAGAGACAGAGAACTCAGACATGCTTACCATATTGAGGTTGAGAGACAAGTTGGTAGTGTGGGGGTCGCTGACGTCTTATATAGCCCACGAGTCAGCTATTTTACCACCCGGTGAAACCAACCTCGGCTTGATTCAAAGAGCCAACGCCCATGAAAGAACCGAGGACATAGGAACTCTACAATTGAACCCTTGTATCCAACTGAGTTTCCCAATTTTTCTTGTTTTCGTGGGAATCATTAAAGACGAATTGGAGTTTTGTGTTTTGTAATGTGGTTGTGTTTAATTGTTTTATAATTTTGTTTATTCCTATGAGGGAAATGGATTTGTATCTAAGAATTTTATAGATTTTGCCTTTTGTTTATAGACGAGGTAGCTTAAGGATGCGTTTCCAATATCCTTCTTTACTTCAATATATTCTACGATGACTTTTATATAGTTTCTTCTAATTTAATTTAGTATACGCTAAATTAACATCCTTATTTTTTCTTCTATATTCCTTCATTTTCTTTTAATCTCCTTATTGTTATGATAAACATGATGAGTGATATATAGCAATCTATTGCAATTGCAAGATTGTAAAATATTATATCCCGAGAGAGAGAGAGAGAGAGAGAGAGAGAGAGAGAGAGAGAGAGAGAGAGAGAGAGAGAGAGTTAGAGACATTAAAAACTACTATTACTTTAGCCAGTGAGATATAACAAAATTTGACCACAACATCTAGTGACTCACAAAACGCGTCATATTAATAATTGTTTAGACAGTTGATCCTGCCAAGCCCTTGAGCACTGAGTCATATCGTTTACCATGACTATAGGAAGTGAGTCATATCGTTTACCATGACTATAGGAAGTGAGTCATATCGTTTTCCACGACTATAGGAAGTGAGTCATATCGTTTACCATGACTATATGAAGTGAGTCATATCGTTTACCATGACTATAGGAAGTGAGTCATATCGTTTACCATGACTATATGAAGTGAGTCATATCGTTTACCATGACGATATGAAGTGAGTCATATCGTTTACCATGACGATATGAAGTGAGTCATATCGTTTACCCTAACTATATGAAGTGAGTCATATCGTTTACCATGACGATATGAAGTGCGTCATATCGTTTACCATGACTATAGGAAGTGAGTCATATCATTTACCATGACTATATGAAGTGAGTCATATCGTTTACCATGACTATAGGAAGTGAGTCATATCGTTTACCCTAACTATATGAAGTGAGTCATATCGTTTACCCTAACTATATGAAATGAGTCATATCGTTTACCCTAACTATATGAAATGAGTCATATCGTTTACCATGACTATAGGTAATGAGGCAAATATATCTATCATTATCTAATATAGAAATGCAAGAAAATATCTTGACTTTATGTACCAAGAACTCCAAAATTATAATCACCTTCCCATTGAGCCGTGACATCTACCCTCACCTGAGTTATTTAAAAATAAAATCTACATTACCAATAATAAGAGCTAAAAAAAGTTACTGACCTTGATTGACGAGGCATTAAATATGTTTTGCACATTTATTTTTATTTTTTTTACAGGCATTAGCCCACCCGGGCACAGGTCATTTTTAATGACCCACATCAAGGCCTGAAGGACAAAAATATAATAATAATAATAATAATAATAATAATAATAATAATAATAATAATAATAATAATAATAATAATAATAATAATAATAATAATAATAATAAAGAGCCATTAATAAATGCAAATATTAAAAAATATCAAGAGTGTGAAATGATATATGTATGTTGTGTTGTCAATAGTAAGAGAAACAAGACCCTGCAATTGTGTGTAAATGAGGCAGAAAGTCAGATCAACAACCTGGTCACATATGGCAGCAGGGTCTACCATTAGACAACACATTATGCTTCCAATATCTTCCCAGGCGGTAGTACCTCCCTGTTTGATAGCTGCCTACTTCCTACTACCTACAAAGTAGGTACCCATTCACAGCTGGATGGACTGGGCTATCCTTGGCGCGAACCAGAGACCCTTAGAAGAGGTGGGTGCTTTATTCACTCGGCTTTGAATATTGAGCCATTAAATGTACGCTGACTTTAATAAAATAAGCTACAAAATGTACCATGACTGATTATTGCGCTAGTAATTGTAACAAGACCTTAATAAAACGACCAATTAAATGTAACAAGACTTTGATTATTGAGCTATTCAATTCACCCAGATCTTTATAAAACGAGCTATAAAAAGTACTGTACCATGACTAATTTGTGAGCTATCAAATGTACACCGACCTTACTGGAACGAGCGATAAAACGTGCCATGACTGAATTAATTACATCCACCTTGATCTTAGCCATCATTACAAGGTCTGGTGTCTTTTTTTTTCTGTTTTTAAGTCTCGGTGGGGACGAGAAAGTCACCATCTACAATGTGAGAGAAATTTGTCTTTTCTCAGGTTTTCTTGGGAATTCGAAAATATGAGTTTGAAGTCTATATTGGTTACCTGAAAGAATGTCTGTATATGTCATGTGTTTTAGGGATAATTTCAGTATATTTCTGATGTTTTGTTGTTTAAAACTTTGAATTGATTTGTACATAGGGCCGATTATAGAGATTGATAAGATGTCGGTAAAGTGTAACTGGATATCGTGACTATTAATCAAACGAAATTAATCTTATCGAGTTTAAATTAATCTAACTCTAATTAATCTTGGTTATGTTAAGAGAATGAAGAACATCTCAAACTAAAAAATATACAGTGAAAATTATAACACAAATAATTCCTGCGCAATAACAGAGTCAATGTGTTTTTTAAAAAGTGAGGAACTCCTGTATCAAGATACGAATTCTTATAACAGATCAAATGTTATTATATATGAGCTAATTTTCCTTAAATGGTGTGTGTGTGTGTGTGTGTGTGTGTGTGTGTGTGTGTGTGTGTGTGTGTGTGTGTGTTGTGCAATCTTACGTTCACTTATATACAGGCTCTGGTCCAATGCTCTTAGGCTGTTTATACCCTGGAGACATAAGCATGAGAGCCTTGGGCCTCCCCTGGTCATATGAAATTACTTCATACCTCAGTCATTGTCATGCGTGATTGTGTAAGAAAAATTATATCAACAATATCAAATAACATTATATGATACACACTTGGATTTTACTTATTTAGTTATCCGTGTTAAGGACAAACTCGTAAGCCCAATAAAAGGAAGTTGTTGGTATTGAAGGTGTTAAATTTGAATTGCTTAGCTCGGCTATTTCAGAAGATGAAGAGCTTCAGATACTGTCCCTACCCAGGTGTTACTGTCGTTCTCCCCAGGATATTTTATATACGCTCTATGTCTGTAGCTTTAGAATCTAAGGCTTAGATAGACGAGCGTTTGCATTCGTTCAATGCGATCGTGTTATTTCGAAGCATTAATGTAAAGTACAGTGCATGTTATCAGTTTCGGAACTCGGTTATATACAGCACATGGATACCATCAAATTATACGACATCAATAATCACAAACTATAACGCTAAAAATTTAAATCCACACATGACATAGAGAATCACTAAGCACAGTAGATAAAAAAAAAGTATCTGACAGGGTGGGTCCAATGACTTCCGAAATTATACGAACAACTCATAATAACTCGGGAGGGTTGGTATGCGTGTCTTCATCCACCATCATTCAGTATCCAACACAGAGGTGAATTGACATATATGAATAAAATAAATGGTTAAGTAATTACCACCATAAAGAATAAGGATACAACACACATATCCCAATACCTATCGTCCGTGGTCTCATATTGTTTCACACAGTATGCACAGATACTTTTTTTGCCTACTGTACATCAATGAGAGCTAAGTAAACACTACACAAAACAAGCACTAATTATCCGTTGACAATAGATTAGAAGAAGTATTTATGGCTTTTAGACGATATAATGACGCCCCCAAACACAGTCTCTCTCTCTCTCTCTCTCTCTCTCTCTCTCTCTCTCTCTCTCTCTCTCTCTCTCTCTTCAAAATTAATGACAAAGCAGTATTAAATTTACCCACAATCTAGGAGGGAGTGAGTACTGACACTGTAATCAAGACCTTGAAAATTTTGTAAGGTCATGGACTGTTTTGAGTTATTCCTTACAGGTAACAATTCTGACCTCGGCTGTGTGTGAACGACCAGGTATACTTACCCAACAATAAGAGAAACAGCGAGTCATGACACTTATGTATAGATTACTTTGACAAAATTCCAGAAAAAAACGAAAAAATAAATCGATCGTAATTCTCAGGAAATAATATTAAATAAATATGTTGAACGTATAAATCTTCCCTCTTATGGAATAGCTTCGCAAAGACATAGTATTTTTCTTCAGATTAATCAGAGGAATTGAATAAAAAAATTAACAAAATCTGTGAAAATTCTAACATAGAAAACCAATCTACAGCTTCGAGTAGAGTATATACCAGAAAAACAAGTACTGAATTATTTAATCATGCCACGTACAAAATTTACCTTGATAGATCATAAACATCAATTCCTCTATATTGAGGGAAGCACAAATCTAATTAAGTGATCAGTGTTAAAACAGTAAGTTATGTCAAACTTTTTTATTCTTACAGATAGAGCATGAAAACAAAAGAAGAGCGTTGTCTATAATAATAATAATAATAATAATAATAATAATAATAATAATAATAATAATAATAATAATAATAATAATAATAATAATAATAATAATAATAATGGTAATGACAACACTAATAATAATATAAAAAATAACCATAGCAATAAAAATTATCAACGTAATAATAATAAAAATAACTTAACGACACAAAAATCATCAGTCAAGGTACAGATTCAGACGATGATAGATAGAGGGTCAACATCTGAGGCACCATGACACGAACTGACCTTTAACCCAATAAAATTTGAGACCCCAAAACCTTCAGAAAACAATAACATGACACAAATTAATATTAAAACACCACAATAAAGACAAAACAAGCAACTATATTACTAATGATATAGTTTATTAAAAAAGTTCAGAAACAATAATTATTCGTTCACCAAAAACTAAGATATTGAAAAGGGTGAATTATTGTAGCTAGTATGTACTCATGTTATTCAATGGGCGTTGGCTAAAAAAAAAATATAGCATTGGAAAAGTGAGGTTGATTGCCCCAGGTGCGAAAAATAGTTCACTCGTGGACTATATATAAAGGAGTCGACTACGATCCCACACTATCGACTTGTTTCTCAACCTCGATATGGTAAGGATCGTTGGGAGAGTTCTCTGTCTTCTAGAAATTCAAAACTTGGACAGAAATATACTTGAGTTTTTTATTTAGAGACGAATAGAAAGAAATAAGGTGATTTTTCTATCTTATTTCTTTCGCTGACAGCAATAATGACGTTTTTGTTCACTTCTTAACAAAAAACAGTTATTATATTGCATTTCTCAAGACTTACATACAGTTCAATGTTCCTTGAGATTTGTTGTAAAAAATAATAAATATTTAGAAGTCATAGAACTACAAGTAATATCCCCTACAATTTTTTTTTAGGATTTCTATTCAAATTTAAATTGTCAACCTGAAGCTTCGATAATTATAATTGATGCAAAAATTCCTTATTAGCTCACGATAAACATATATAAATAAGTGAATCCGAATTAACTCTGTATAAATATGTACAACATCAATCTATATATTGATTTATATTATTTCCTTATATTCCTTTTTCTTTTTTGCAGAAGCTGTTAGTCTCTTTGGTTGTGGTGGCGCTGGCTGCTAGTGGCCACGCTGACTATCTATCAGATAATCCATATGCTGCCAGACCATCCTACACGCCCCCTTCACCATCTTACGGAGGCGGGTCTCATGCTAGCTACGGTACAGCAACAGGCTACAGTAATTTCAACCTAGGAGCTCCTCTTAGCTACGGCGGAGGTTCTTCAGGGGGAGGAATTGGCTCCGTCGGTGGTCTTGGCTCCGTCGGTGGTTTTGGTGGTGGTGGTGGTGCAGGAGGGAACTACGGTCCTCCCCCGACAGGATATGGTCACTAAACTTCATTCACCTCACGGATATGGTAATGAAAACTCCTCCAGCATCAAGACTAACTCCATAACAGTTAAAGTTAGATAGTATTTATTTAATATTCTCTGATACTATTAATATTACGGGCACTAATAAAAGTTAAAACTATCAAGAACGAGTTGAAATATTTCATTTGGATGGAGAGAAAGACAAATAGGTAGGGAAAATGAGAGAGGAAGAGAGAGAGAGAGAGAGAGAGCGTATCATAACTCCTGGCACTATACTGTTATCCCACACACACACACACACACACACACACACACACACACACACACACACACACACACACTGTTATCATTCTCTTTTCACTGCCACCATTTTGATTTTTTAAAAGCATCCTTTCTATTACCACAATGACACCTTCACTACCAACTTACTGACATCTTCATTACCAACACCTTCACGACCAATGCACTGACACCATTAACACTTTAACACCATAATATTACTCCCGGTGGCACCCTTAGCCCTTAATGGCATTCTTAGTCTTTCATGATGAAGATCGGTTGATGATGATGATGATGATGATGATGATGATGATTATATTTATCACAATGTTAATAATAATTGTAATGGTTATGATAAAGGTAATAATGATATACTTATGATGAGGATGATAATGATGATGACGATTATACCATTTATTAATCTATAAGTGTCACAGGATCTTCGCCATTAAGTTAAGACACCCCGAGGCTATACCCTGAGTTGCTTAAGAAAGACGAGAACACAACAAACAACAAGAAAGACTAAATACGTAGAGTTATTGACTGTGTATAAATGGGTTTTGGGTCGGGATAAAACCATTGAATATCCGCTGACAGGGAGAAGCGAAGGGGATAAAATAGTTATCCCCAGATTTGCTTTTCCCCCCGAACAATTTTTTTTTAATACAAAGTCAGTTAAGAAAAGCAAGCATAGGGTTTATTACGCAGCTACAAGGGATCGTGTAGGAAATGGTACTGATTAATATCCCCATATGGATGATTCTGTTCCCACGGTCCCTGGTGAGGCAGTTCATGTGATCCACCCTATTGTGTTCATGATGAGAATTGTGTATTGTATTTTCATGAAGATTTTTAAATGTATGTGAATGTTTACGAATTTTCCGTATACAGTTGACGACTATATTCCCTCTACGTTTGTTCATACTTGACATCTGTGTTAGTCATGTACACTCGCTTGCACTTATACCTGGTACAGTGGCTGGTACAGTTTATGAGATGTAGCAACTCTGTATTTGTTTACATCGTATTAACATTCCTGGAATGGTCCTAAGGAACCTCACAATAGTAGCCAGACTAAGGATGCGAGATAAATATTCCACAGAGTTGCCAAATCTCAAAAAACACCAGCCACTGTACCAGGTATAAGTGCAGGCGATTTTACTTGTATATGATTCGTTTACAGATAGTGAACTCTGTGTTTCATTATAATTGATCTCAAAATTAATACGAAAAGCATTCTATACTACAGAAAAACTGGAAATAAGTAAATATTTAAAATTACCATCTCAATTACCTGTTTATCACTCGAGTATATGATGACAGGTATTGCCAGGTGTACGGGTAAATTTCTCCCACCAATATCTACTGTAATCCTACTTTTACCTGACCATCTCATATACCTACACCCCACCATCCATTCACAGTATCTACTAAGTGATCGATTATAGAAAGACTGTTAACCGTGAGTGAGGTTTAGTGCACCACACGTTATCTGAAGTACGTTTGTGAGAAGTCGGGGAAGGGAAGGGATGGTGAACTAACCTCGATATATGGGTGTTTCCGTCTATCCTCGAGGCTTCATCAGATTTATGTTCGTTTCCTAATCAACCAGACTGTGTATCGTAATGTCGTTCATCTATTTGTCTCTTTACACCAAAATAGATAGAAATTATTTGCCTTTTTACTACACAATATAAAAGCATTTGAATGAATATTATTATACGCCATGAAAGGACACAAAAATATTCTGATACTGAAATCTATCAAAATTTTACTCAAGATTAACATATCGTATCTGTGTTTGTTTATTAGGGAAAAATAAGTTCAAATATGTGTAATTAAATGTTAAACTGATTATTTGTTTTTTACCCCACCATGAATGATCAGGTTCATATAGTGTTACCTTCTGCGGTCTGTCCTTCCATCTATTCGTTTGTATGTATGTACGAATGACTTGATTTTTCACAATCACTACAGATCTGACACTAAACGTCACACTCACAGAGGTATCTTCATGAGTCATACAACATCACATCTAAAGGTAGTGACTCTGACCTATACATTTTGGAACCGTTTTTTGGCCATGGTTAAAACTCATTGTGTGTTTTTTTTTTTACAGGTGGGAGGACGGGGGCATTAATAACTTTTTGCACATATTTCTGTTTACTACAATAAATACAAAATTTAATAAACATCTCTCCTTTCCCTTACGTCATGTTACAGCCCAAAACAATATGACGAAGCACTACACTGCAAGGCGAGGAAGTGAAGCCTACTTTAGAAATTGGTATCAAAATTCCCTTCACATTTACCTGTCCGCGTGTTATATGGAATGATGACATATATATATTTATATACCACACATCACCTTTACAAACTGTCTCAACTCACAACTTGACAAGGAAATATTTTTTTTTTTTTTTGACGATTGAGAGTTCACTGTGATATTGCGATTTCTAGCAACTGAGACACTAAGATTTGGCAAGAAGTTTAATGTGAGAGCTCTAACACCTTTTGTGATCTCTGTTGCCTGATTATAGTAATATTGTTTTTTTCGTCTGGGTGTGTATGCGTTCAGTAGACTCACTCTCTCTCTCTCTCTCTCTCTCTCTCTCTCTCTCTCTCTCTCTCTCTCTCTCTCTCTCTCTCTCTCTCTCTCTCTCTCTCTCTCTCTCTCTCTCTCTTAATATCACAAACACTCTTTTCCTTTTCTCTATCTCTATTCTCTCTATACTTCGCCATAGTTTTAGTTAATAAATTTGTTATATAATCCTTTTGTACTGTCACACACACACACACACACACACACACACACACACACACACACACACACACACACTACATCCTTGACCACCGGAGGGTCAAGACCTAAAAGGAGCTGCCGTGCAGCGGCCCCCCTTGGCCATGTTCGGCCCATTACCCAAGTCCCTCTCCCCGACCCATCCTCACCACCGGGATATCAACATAATCAAAAATGACAATTTCGTTTCGGAAAGAAGTGGGATCAGTGTTGAACAGTGATGAACAGTGTTTAAGCAAGTGAATTCAGCACTAAACAGTACCAGTGAGAGCCGTGATCCACCACTCAGATAAGCACCCCTGGGAACTGACCACCATCTTCTGACCAGGAGGTGCTAATCAGTCCACCCTGGGAACAACAGTGGGTAATGTGTTCTGGTAGTTGAGGTGGTAGTTATGATGGCTGTAGTGGTGGTAGGTGTGGTAGAATGGTGTTAGTTGTGGTGGGAGTTGTAGTGTGGTCATGATAAGTAGGAACCTTAAGCCAAGTAAACAATGTGTTGTTGCTCGTAACAAGGTTAATAAAGTACTTGGGTTCATACAAAGGAGTGTTAGTTACAAGACTAGCGAGGTCATCCTAAAATTATATCTTGCGCTTGTGAGACCTCACCTGGATTACTCAGTTCAGTTCTGGTCACCGTATTACAGAATGGATATAGAATCCTTTGAAAGAATCCAGAGGAAAATGACAAGACTAATCCCGGGCATTAGGAACCTTGAGTACAGAGACAGGTTAAAGCATCTTAATTTGCACTCCCTCGAGAGACGTAGAGTGAGGGGCGACATGATAGAGGTGTATAAATGGAAGTCAGGGTTAAACAAAGGGGACATTACAAAGGTACTCAAACTATCCAACCAGGAGCGAAATCGTAACAATGGTTTTGAATTAGACAAATTTAGATTTCGGCGTGAAATAGGTAAACACTGGTTTGGAAACAGAGTAGTGGATGAATGGAACAAGTTACCAAATATCATCATTAACTCGAATATGCTGGATAGCTTCAAACATAGGTTGGATGCTTATATGAGTAATAGGGGTTGGGTATAAACGGGACTGCCCAGTATGGGTCAATAGGCCAGCTGCAGTTTCCTCCATTCTTATGTTCTTATGTTCTTATGTATCATGGATCAATCCTACACCCTATAACTATACATCTCTCTCTTTCACTCGTTATATGAATCATAACACCAATATTAGAAGAGTCAGTGTGTTAGTGATGTGGAACTAGTGATGATGTTGGTGATGATTCTTAGTGGTAGTGATGATCCTTAGTGATGGTGGTGGTGACAGTGGTGATTCTTAGTAGTAGTGGTGAGATTTATGGTGATGATAGAGGTCGGTTGTGATGATGGTAGTGTTAGGAGTGAGTGGTATGGTGAAAGTCAGTGTAGCGGTAGTCATAAATATTTGGCATAAATATAAGATTTCTTTGTTTCATTCTGTTCAGATTTCAATTTCAGACACTCAAGATTCTCCAAAGAATAAAATAGAAGTTGCATTACATGTATGACAAGATTATAGTTAGAAATTAAACTTCCCGTTGCTACACAGTGCCTTACCAACGCTATTTAATATCTACGCTTAATTTCCTGTGTTACCTCATATCACGCAAACAATAAAAAGTAATTCCGTCTTCACCAACCTCAACAATACGCCACGAGTCAGTCATGAACCTGGACTCATTACACTAAACCCTTAACCCTAAGGTCCCTAAAGTCTTCCCAGGTCACACATTTACACAACCACACATAGTAGAAATAGCGGGTCATATGAGGGTATATAAGACGTGGTCCTTGGGTTCACAGCATAGTTTGTATCATAACACCAGCATGGTAAGAACCAACTGGTTTTATTAGAACTCAATAACCAGATATATAGATAATATACGTAGAGTGTAAGAAAGAAAGAGAGAGAGAGAGTGAAATGATTTAGTTTGCGCCATAATAAATTGCAGTTATCATATATACTATTATTGAAAAACCACCTAACGTATTGGAAAATCATTTTAGCAAGTATTCTGGAGTGGATCAACAGAGTTCAAAGCATTAGTAACATCAACCTTACTTTTCTTACAGAAGCAGATAACCTTCATACTCCCGGCGCTTCTGATTTCTCGGTGTTATGGAGACTTTGGTTACGGACCACTCGGCCCCATCGGTCCAGGACCTCATGGAGGATTCCTAGGTGGTGGACCATACGACCCACATGCTGCTAACCCTCATAGAATCCATGGAGGACATCATGGCTCCCTCAGAAGATTACAAGGAGGATATTCACCTCCAGGATACGGAGGAACTCGTGGAGGATACAGTACAGCTACAGGGTACAGCGTCTTCAATCTTGGGGCTCCAGTAGGCTACAGTCGTGGTGGAGGCAGTGGCTCTTTCCTGGCTCACGGTGGGGGTGTTTATAGCCCAGGTGGCTCTAGAAGTGGCCTAGGGGGTGTTCATCATGCCCGGGGGGGTAATGGTATTGGAGGTTCTTTTAATGGTTATGGCTCGGGTGGTTCACTAGGTGGCCTTGGTTCTGGTGGTTCACTAGGTTATGGCTCGGGTGGTTCAATAGGTGGCCTTGGTTCTGGTGGTTCAATAGGTGGCCTTGGTTCTGGTGGTTCACTAGGTTATGGCTCGGTTGGTTCACTAGGTGGCCTTGGTTCTGGTGGTTCACTAGCTTATGGCTCGGGTGGTTCACTAGGTTATGGCTCGGGTGGTTCACTAGGTGGCCTTGGTTCTGGTGGTTCACTAGGTTATGGCTCAGGTGGTTCACTAGGTGGCCTTGGTTCTGGTGGTTCACTAGGTGGCCTTGGTTCTGGTGGTTCACTAGGTTATGGCTCGGGTCGTTTTCTAGGTGGACTTGGTTCACGGGGTTCTCTGGGTGGTTATGCCTCAGGTGGTTCTCTAAGTGGCCTTGGTTCAGGTGGTTCTCTGGGTGGTTATGGTTCGGGTGGTTCACTAGGTAGTTCTCTTGGTGGATATGGCTCTGGTGGCATCATAAAGGACATATATGTTTGATGCAGTGATTGAAGAGACTCTTACATCATCCTCTTGTCTTGTGACCTCGAGAAAGGAACTACGATCGACTAAAGTGGAAGAAAAGTTTACATACTTAAGAAAATGTGAAGAAAAATATCCCTTCTATATATTTATTTATTATATCAGTCTTTCTTTAATATATATAATGTATAATTTATAAGATGTATATTAACTTCTATATGTATTTTTTAGAAATGAAGAATTACTATATAGTAGCTGGTATTATTGCAGTTTCACTCCCAATTTGGTTAGAGCAATTTTGGGTTCATCAGAATTTATATCTCGTCAATTGCAGCAAGTGTTTCTAATGCCACTTCTGTCGCTAATGGATAACAACCGAGATGGTAAATACACGTCAGAAATTCACGTAACTCTGCAGTCATCGCGTGTCGTCTGTTTGTTTAGAACAGACCTGCTAGGTATGAGCAAACTCTCACGTCCACAAACACATAAAATTACACCATGATGCTTCAACAAAGTTACTTTCATTGGAACCAAATACAAGATAAGTACTTTCTGTTTAATATGGCGGGCGGCACCCCCGGGGTTAGGAAGTTAGGAAAGGGTAAGTCGGTTTCTTTGGTTGGTTAACGTTAGGTTCTATGTGGGAAGGTGGTGAAAACTTAAAAACAACTCATTTCCGACGGAAATGAAGGTCAAATTCGAATGAATCACCAAATACCTTGAGAAAAATCTAAATTTCTTGTAAAAACAAAAAATAATCGCTCGTGAATGTGTAATTTTACCATATATTTGAATTTGTTGTTTTCACTTTCCAGTATGTGTTGTGTATATTGAGTAGATAAGAAGAGTGTCTGGGGTGGATATTCTCCACGTGATCCTTCATATGTACATCAATTTAAAATGCGTCACAAAATCAGATATATACATTGAAATTATCCTTATGAAGTAAATATTCCCAAAATGCATGAATGATAAACGTTTAGGTATCAATGGTAAATATCACCGAATATATATAGCTATTTATCGAAACTTAATTTAGTATTATATAAAAATAACTCGCAAAACATAAGAATTTTCTTCACTTATTCCAATTATTTTTATCCTTGATTATGATTATTTAATTATTTCTTTATTTAATGTTTTGTGTGTGTGTTTGTTTTATTTTTGTAGAGGCTATATTATAAAATATTTATACAGAACAGTTCATAGATTCGCAAATAATAATTTCTATTCGTCTCTCTCTCTCTCTCTCTCTCTCTCTCTCTCTCTCTCTCTCTCTCTCTCTCTCTTTACGTGACATTAGACCTTACCAACAACAGCAACGTCATCCACAACTCTCTGGAAAGTGTCTAATTTTAAAGGCAAAAACACAACACAACGAGAGCATTGAGAACAGCCGCAGGGAGCCGTAGTGTCAGGGCCCTGGAATTCGCTATTAACGTGTGAAGACTGTATATACCTGTCATTTGGTCCTGTTATCACTCAGCTAGGAGGAACTGGAGGTGAAGGGTAACAAGTGAGAGAAGGAGGGGGGTAGGAGATTGGAGAAAGAGAAGGAAGAAGGGGGGGTAGGAGATTGGAGAAAGAGAAGGAAGAAGAGGGGGCGTAATGGGAAATTTAGCGATGTGGAAGGGGCGAGGATATGAGATTGGTGAAGGAAGAGGAAGAGCTGTGTGAAAATGAGGGAAGGAAGTTAGATTGAAGTTAGGTGGAGCTTAGGTAGGGTGATGGATAGTGTAAGGGACTGAAGGAGGGAGGAAAATACGAAGGGGAAGGAGGAAGGGAAGGGGAAGAAGGGTAGTGAAAAGAAGATTGCATGGAGAACGACAGAGGAAAGTGGACAGAGAACTTGTTGCATGACTTATTGGGTAACTATGGTATTTTACCCTAGCGTGTGATACTGTATGTATGACTAAGTACAGTTAATGTGTGGTTTTCTATGTATTTGTGTGTGTATATAAGAAAAGATGAATACTAGTCATTTGTATCAACGTCTGTTCTGTGCGTTTGTTTAAGTGTATGTATGTATGTATGTATGTATGTATGTATGTACGTATACGTATGTATGTATGTATGTATGTATGTATGTATGTATGTATGTATGTACAGTATGTATGAATGTATGTATTTACACTATCTCAAAACTAATAAATCTGTTTTCATATCAATAACAAACAGAATAATGATATCATCAGCTGAAGGTTTCTACAAAATAATACTTAATAATACCATTCAATTTACAAGCATAGATATAATAAGTAAAGGTCCGATCACGAACAAAAGTCCCTGTACAGGCTCAAGATCCTAAAGTTCTGGTACGAGTCTCTGAACTGCTATTATACCCATAGATGGCGCTCTTAGTGTCTCTTGTCTGGGTGTCAAACATGAGTGTAAATGATCAATTTGTTAAGGACTTCTAAAAGGTATCCTTATAATAAAACTGTATCTCCCTATGTGATCTGGCTGTATGTTATTGATATGTTGATAAATATATATGACAATGACGCTTTATAATTAGGAAAAGAAATAATATATGATTCATAATGCAATCTTTATGTATTTGAGAAAACAAGACATGGAAGTGGCGCTATAGTCTAACAATACAACATAAACATTCCTGACGCTGTATGGAAATGAATATACACAAGTGACAACTGGTCTTAATTATTACGATCAGTTAGTAAAATCAGAAGAGTTTGTAGTTAAGGCTTATTGGTGTGTCTCGTTTCATCACCAACAACGCATAAGAGTTAAGAAAGTTTTATCGTTATCTTTGGGACATGGACGGACAGTACATAGCAGTAATAAATATATCCAGTGGTAAAAATACTTGAGAATTAAAATGTTTTCAATTGCACTAAGCGTAGCCTCCGCTTGAACCACCAAAACCTCCGCTGTGGGAACTGCCAGAGCCACCGAAGGAACCTCCAGCACCTCCACCGAAGGAAGAACCTGATCCGTAACCTCCAGATGAACCGCCGGCACCTCCACCGAAGGAACTTCCGCCGAAGGAAGAACCAGATCCGTAACCTCCAGATGAACCGCCGGCACCTCCACCGAAGGAACCTCCAGCACCTCCACCGAAGGAAGAACCTGATCCGTAACCTCCAGATGAACCGCCGGCACCTCCACCGAAGGAAACCCAGCACCTCCGCCGAAGGAAGAACCTGACCCATAGCCTCCAGATGAACCGCCAGAAGAACTTCCACCGAAGGAACCTCCAGCACCTCCCGAAGGAAGAACCTGACCCATAGCCTCCAGATGAACCGCCGGCACTCCACCGAAGGAACTCCAGCACCCGCCGAAGGAAGAACCTGACCCATAGCCTCCAGATGAACCGCCAGCACCTCCACCGAAGGAACCTCCAGCACCTCCACCGAAGGAAGAACCAGATCCGTAGCCTCCAGATGAACCACCGGCACCTCCACCGAAGGAACCTCCAGCACCTCCACCGAAGGAAGAACCAGAACCGTAGCCTCCAGATGAACCGCCGGCACCTCCACCGAAGGAACCTCCAGCACCTCCACCGAAGGAAGAACCAGATCCGTAACCTCCAGATGAACCGCCAGCACCTCCACCGAAGGAACCGCCAGCACCTCCACCGAAGGAACCTCCAGCACCTCCACCGAAGGAAGAACCTGATCCATAGCGTCCAGAACCTCCTCCTGTAGAACCTACAGGATGACCAAGCTGGAAGTGCACGAAGGAGGTCGCTGAACTTCTTCCATTACCTCCAGTAGGGGCTGCATAGCTTCTCTGGGGACCTCCTGAGCCCCCTCCTCCAAAATGACCACCACCACCACCACTACCACCACCACCACCACCGCTGGTGAAGCCGCCTTGGCTACCGCCGTAGGATCCACCTCCTCCTCCTCCTCCTCCTCCAGAAGACGCGACAATCCCGCCACCAAGGGACCCGCCACCTCCGCCTCCATAAGAGTACTGGGCATGCCCTTGACACACCAGCAGCACCACGCCCACAGTTGTGAAGAATTTCTGAAATATAAAAGAAGGCTGGTGATAAACTTTGACGATATACTGTATGTTATACAATTTTCAAAAGAACTTCAAATAAAACTGAAATTATGTTTACCTGATTTCATATGTCATTTTTGTTCTAAATTGAAATATTATATTATATATCTCACTATTTTTGCCTTTATTATATCTCTTCTCGGTCTTGGGGTGACGAAGAAAAGAACTGCTATTGAATCCTTTGACCGCCGAAAACACACTGACAATAACCGGCACGCACACACACACACACACACACACACAGGTCGATTGCAATACTCTTAACTTTCTCAAAACGGAAAGAACACTTGAGTTATTTCTTTTCCTCGTTACAAGTAAAGAAACAAGGTAAGTGACGCCAGGGAGCTTACCATGTTGTCTGAGTGAAGGCAGAAGGATGAGTTGGTCATCCTCGCTGCGGACACCTTCTTATATACTCTCAAACACCAACGGTTCCGCCCCCCCCTCCCAACCCCTCCCCCTTCCCAACCACCTGCCACCCCCCCCCACTCCCACTACTTCATTGCTTAGACTTACAAAATTCACACCAAGAACGCCGTGAGCGTCGTCGTGCTCTGCCTGGTGGTGGTGATGATGATGAATTTCAACAAGTCCCCCAGCTAGAGGTCAAGGTGATGTTGGTGAATCATGAATATTAATGAAAGAATTAAACATTTACTTGAGTTATGGAAAACCACCTAATTATTTTCATTTCCCACTAGTGTTTATTTATTTATTTATTTATTTATTTGTTTGGTTAATTTTGAAACACTGACCGTAATTAAACATTCATCTTTCTATTTTTAATTTGTTGCTTAGTGTTTAAGTCCTCGCGGTTGGGTTCTAGTTATATTTACGAGACGTGTGGAAAACTAAATATTTCTCGAAATGGTTAGTGAAGGTGTAAAGCATGGAGACGTTTCATATATGTGTGTGTGTGTGTGTGTGTGTGTGTGTGCGTGTGTGTGTTATTCAAGTAAGTAACTACTATATTCATCAAGTGAATAATATAAAAAATTAATTAATCAAGACGTATTCAAAATATATACATCTACGATATTTATAGTTGATCTATTACCTTATTTGGATAAACTAAATTATATTTCATGTTCAGTTGTTAATTTTACTCACTTAACATAAAGTAGGAGAACAATGATTGTATACATCGGTCTATTTCATAAATTCTTAAAACAAAAAGTGTTTCGAGAAATTTTGCCAATTCTACAATTATGATCAATTACATCTACCCCATTTTGATAGTTTGTGTCTACTATGTATTGCTGCCGCTGGTGTTGTCTACTATGAGTACTCTAGACATAAAAGAAACAATTTGTCAAGAAGTAAATCAGACTAAGATATAATAGAATACAGAGATCAGGCAATTCTAATAATTTATACTATAGAACAAATGCATGAAGGCATAAAATACAAATGGACATACCTGTTATAACTTAAGCCCTGAGAAGACAAAAACATAAATAATCTCAAACATTAAACATGAGACTCATTATAACAGGGGAACATTAGTACTGAGGTCTATGCGTCCTGAATCCAATTTATGAATAAAATGTCAGCTATTTGCGATAAAACTTGATGTAACCAAATAATGTCATTCGATGAGGTTGATAAACAATGTTTGTTTTTTCTCTTATTAGTATTTGGAATGACTGTCCACTATAAGGATACTTACAGGTAACAGGACATAAAGGTACTGCAGGGGTGTAAATGATAGCTGTTTGTTTGAGGGGTTATGGGCTTACTGGACCAAATGAACACACAAATATATGCATATATATATATATATATATATATATATATATATATATATATATATATATATATATATATATATATATATATATATATATATATATATATATATATATATATATATATATATATATAGTGCCTGAAGGTCAGGTACACAGGTACAATGTTCTGATTTATAACATAATGAGTGAGTTTAGATGTGAAAAAGTGTGATATATCATATATTTGTATAATAAGACTCAGTCGACCTTGTGCGTGAGTATGTCAGACATAATAACATATGTCAGTGATGAGAAAATGTGACTTAATATATACCAAAAAATACAAACATATTTATCCTTCATTTGTCATTTTTATTCCCATGGAAGTTTGCAGAAATTTCTGTCTGTCTCTCTGTCGCTGTGTCCGTTCGTCTGTTTGACTGTCTGTCGAGAGAGGAATCGAGGTTGATAGAACAAAAATAATTAGACCAATCAATGAAAACGAAAGTGTATCACGGAAAGGTATTCCTATTTGATGGGATGAAACTTTCGTGTGGTGTTTAAATATCACTTAATTTTAACAGAACGTGATATTTGGTGTTCATAACTCTCTCTCTCTTTCTCTCTCTCTCTCTCCCTCTCTCTAGAGACAGGAACAAACATAGGAGAATCAACACCACAGGAACAAACATAGAAGAATCAACACCACAGGAACAAACATAGAAGAATCAACACCACAGGAACAAACATAGAAGAATCAACACCACAGGAACAAACATAGAAGAATCAACACCACAGGAACAAACATAGAAGAATCAACACCACAGGAACAAACATCAACACCACAGGAACAAACATAGGAGATCAACACCACAGGAACAAACATAGAAGAATCAACACCACAGGAACAAACATAGAAGAATCAACACCACAGGAACAAACAAAGAAGAATCAACACCACAGGAACAAACATAGAAGAATCAACACCACAGGAACAAACATAGGAGACTCAACACCACAGGAACAAACATAGAAGAATCAACACCACAGGAACAAACATAGAATCAACACCACTCCTACACAGCCATCACAAAAGACAAGAGATACACCGAGTTAAACCATCACTAATCTAATACCCTCAATATAGCCACTGCTCCTACCATCATAGCCTGTCGCAACCTGCTCCTCATTTGTCTTCCACCTTGGTCTCTCCGGAGGTGTGGATAGTCAGTTCGTCCAGCCTTGCCCTCCCCCGGAAGTGGAGATTGATAATGTGTTATTTAGCCTTGTGTGCATTTCGTCAGTCAAAAAATAGCCAAATAGCGAATCCTTGAAGTAACAGGATATAGTTATGACAGACAACTAGTTTTGAGTACACAGACAGACAGACTGACTGACAGATAGACAGACAGACAGAAAAAGACAGACTGAATGTTCGTAGTGATGAAATGAGAGAGAGAGAGAGAGAGAGAGAGAGAGAGAGAGAGGTGAAGGGGAGAGAGAATGGGAGAAAAATAAAGTGAAATACACATAAAAAATTCATATCATGATATAAACGACCTGACGAAAATTTCAACCTTGTTCCAGTACAGTGTCGTAATAATATAAACTCCTTCATTCGATTAACAACACTCTTGTCTTTCTTTTATCTCTCTTTTATTAATATATCTCTTTCTCTCTACCATCTTATCTAATAGTCTCATCAATCTCCTTATTTTTTCTTATTCCTCATTTCATTATCGTTTTTTTCTATTTCCTCGATTTGTTTCATAACTATCATCATTCATTTCAATCTGACTCTCATGTGAAATTCTACAGGTCGCTTACACGATAATCACGACCCCAGGAAATGTGCCTTGTAAGTGTGACTCCACTCTGAAACTGTCATCATCGTCGGGTTGTGTCTGACCCAGATCATGCTGATAAAGAGAGTGAAATTCTTTAGTTGTTTGGTTTAAAATAAGTAGGAAATGGGCCCCAGAAAATGGAATATTTGTAGTAGTAACTTTATCAAGAATAGCAAGATTTAAAAGAATAATAATGTTATTACTATTAAGAATAACTAATAATAATAATAATAATAATAATAATAATAATAATAATAAAAATATATGTTGAAAAAGTAGACAATATTGACTAATGTAAAAACTTCGCTACTATTTATAGCATCAACACTCGTAATAAATGTTCTACAATCACTAACAATAATTTCATCACCATAGGTAAAGGACCAGTTAACCTGCCTGTGTTGTAACCCAAGTATGTGGCCTCTGCAGCGTCACTTTGTCTATGACCTGATGTTTCTGACCTCACCATAGTTACTTGTGTTTTTTCTTAATGCGTGTAAGTTATCAGTGGGAGTTTGCCTTGGGTTTAGTTTACTTGTTATTGCATTCTGTGATGTTCGAAAAATTCTTGGAAAATTTGACTAAAATGTTGCAAAATCTGACTTTAGGTATGAAGAAAACACGTGCCTGTAGTCGTGTTAATAAATTTTTTTTCTCGAGGACAACAAGAAGACTCTATTATGATTTAAGCTCTAAGTTTGTAGATTTGCAAGAATTTTCCAATGTTACTAACTTAATACATAAATACTCTTCTTATTGTGTACATGGGATATTAGTATTGACTCTAGACGGTGAAATGAAACACATGGAGTGAATTTTCTTCAGTGGCTCTTTATCCTCCAATTATATATGCAAAATAATCTTGTAATTCTGAAGCATGTTCACTTAGACAACAAACATAGATAATAATTTGTCCCAGTACAATATAACTGTATAGGGGAAAATATCCAAACATTTGTATTTTTCAGCTTTGAGTCATTCAGTAGTCTAATGATTCTTTAAACATAAATTAATCCCATTTCTCTAATATATTAAACTCTTGTATTAGATACTTACTGTATGAGTTATTTCTTTATTTGGGAATAAGTTTAAAGTCTTCGGTCTTTGTCGTCTTATGGTTTACAGAAATCAACACTCGCCCAATCTTTAAGTAACCCCGACGGCTGCTTGATAACACATATCATACAGTATAATCTATCTTACGTTTCATAATTACCTAAATGGTCCTTCTGATGTGTATATGTATATTATAAATGGTTTCTCTGATCACTATCCTTTATAAATATTCTATCTCATCAGTTTATTCACTATTGTCTATAAAGGGGTGAAAATCAATGCAAAAATACTATATACATACATTTTATTTTATTCTATTTCAACAAGTAGGTGTACAAAAAAAAGGTGATAATGAACACGTTCGAGAGTAATATTATCGGGTAGGCAAATATCAAGGTGCAAGATAATAGAAAACAATTAGTGAGACTAACTATCATAAGCAGAGGGACTTCCAGGGTTTTTAATGACTATACCTTCAAGATTTCCGTCTCTATGACCACTGAGTCTATCTACGTGTCCACCTGTTGATGAAACTCTATGTCCACTTATGGTAGATCCAGCGAGTCCGAAATCAAGGGCACCATCTGCTCTGTAACCAGTTGATGATCTTACGTGTTTACCTATGGCAGCTACTATATGTCCACTGCTGAGACTATCAACTCCTTGTTCATCACTATGTCCTCTAACACCGTGTCCGCTAAGACCTCCAGATTTGTGTCCAGTACCAAGACCTTCAAGGGCTTCACCGGTATTGTAGTCAACTGAAGAACCTACATGTCCAGTGAGATCTCTTACGTGTCCACCACCAAGGCTTCCAACTCCGTGTCCACCACCAAGACTTCCAACTACGTGTCCGCCCAAAACAACTCCTGTGTGTTCAAAATCGATCGCCTCTTCCTCACTATATTGTTCTGAAGGATGTTGACGTCCAGTTACGGCCACTGCCTCTACGTGTCTGCCTCCAAAACTCATTTCAAGAGCTTTACTAGTGGCGTCGTTAGCCGAAGGACTTCCATGCTTAGGGAGAGGTCCAAAGTGTTCCCCACCTGTTCTAAAGCCACCTGAATTACTTTCATGTTCTCCTAAGGCAGCTCCTGTGTGTCTAAAATCAGGGAATCCACTTGCACTGTAGCCACCAGAAAAATCTCTGTTTCCACCTCCAGCAACTCGTGATGCGTGTCCAATGACCCCAAGATCTTGAAATTGCCCTCCAGAGGTTGTGGGCATATGGTGGTCAATATCCTCTAAATGGTCGACTACTGCAACAGCTCCAGGAATTCTAGTTTTATGATCTTTACTGTGAACAATATTAACATCAATATTACCACCAACGTGCCCTACTTCCTTAATACCGTAACCTCCAGCAAAACCTCCAAACTGGCTTCCAAAATATGCTTTCCCATGACCACCGCTTCCAATATCTCCAACATTTCCTACAACACCTACAACGTCTTCAACACCTCTTACAACCCCCCCAACACCTCTGACACTTCCCACAACACCTTTAGCTCCACTCCCACGAACAATACCACCAGTTGCAGCAGTATGACCAACATTCACTAAACCACCGTGACGAGATGGAGAGCCATGATTATCAGCTCGTCGAAGAGGACCACCTAGGCTAAAACTGACAGTAGCTGTGGCTCCAACCCGACGCCTACCAGAAGACCCATAACCACTGATGGAGCCATGATGTTTGCTATTAAGGGAAGCAACATGTCCACTATTGAGAGAACCAGTATGTCCAGTATTAAGGGAAGCAACATGTCCACTATTGAGAGAGCCAGTATGTCCAGTATTAAGGGAAGCAAGTCCACTATTGAGAGAGCCAGCATGTCCAGTATTATGGAAAGCAACATGTCCACTATTGAGAGAGCCAGTATGTCCAGTATTAAGGGAAGCAACATGTCCACTATTGAGAGAGCCAGTATGTCCAGTATTAAGGGAAGCAGCATGTCCACTATTGAGAGAGCCAGTATGTCCAGTATTAAGGGAAGCAACATGTCCACTATTGAGAGAGCCAGCATGTCCAGTATTAAGGGAAGCAACATGTCCACTATTGAGAGAGCCAGCATGTCCAGTATTAAGGGAAGCAACATGTCCACTATTGAGAGAGCCAGTATATCCAGTATTAAGGGAAGCAGCATGTCCACTATTGAGAGAGCCAGTATGTCCAGTATTAAGGGAAGCAACATGTCCACTATTGAGAGAGCCAGTATGTCCAGTATTAAGGAAGCAACATGTCCACTATTGAGAGAGCCAGCATGTCCAGTATTAAGGGAAGCAACATGTCCACTATTGAGAGAGCCAGTATGTCCAGTATTAAGGGAAGCAAGACCACTATTGAGAGAGCCAGCATGTCCAGTATTATGGAAAGCAACATGTCCACTATTGAGAGAGCCAGTATGTCCAGTATTAAGGGAAGCAACATGTCCACTATTGAGAGAGCCAGTATGTCCAGTATTAAGGGAAGCAGCATGTCCACTATTGAGAGAGCCAGTATGTCCAGTATTAAGGGAAGCAACATGTCCACTATTGAGAGAGCCAGCATGTCCAGTATTAAGGGAAGCAACATGTCCACTATTGAGAGAGCCAGCATGTCCAGTATTAAGGGAAGCAACATGTCCACTATTGAGAGAGCCAGTATGTCCAGTATTAAGGGAAGCAACAAGTCCACTATTGAGAGAGCCAGCATGTCCAGTATTAAGGGAAGCAACATGTCCACTATTGAGAGAGCCAGCATGTCCAGTATTAAGGGAAGCAAGTCCACTATTGAGAGAGCCAGTATGTCCAGTATTAAGGGAAGCAACATGTCCACTATTGAGAGAGCCAGTATATCCAGTATTAAGGGAAGCAAGTCCACTATTGAGAGAGCCAGCATGTCCAGTATTAAGGGAAGCAGCATGTCCACTATTGAGAGAGCCAGTATGTCCAGTATTAAGGAAAACAACATGTCCACTATTGAGGGAGCCAGCATGTCCAGTATTATGGAAAGCAACATGTCCACTATTGAGAGAGCCAGTATGTCCAGTATTAAGGGAAGCAACATGTCCACTATTGAGAGAGCCAGTATGTCCAGTATTAAGGAAAGCAACATGTCCACTATTGAGGGAGCCAGCATGTCCAGTATTATGGAAAGCAACATGTCCACTATTGAGGGAGCCAATATATCTACCATCAAGAACGCCTACATGTCTTCCAAGGGGACCACTATGTCCAGCACCAAAGGAATCATCAAATGTCCTCCTCGATGAGCTACGATGTCTACCAGAAAGGCTGTCACCATGTCCAAGACCAAGTGATCGCACGTGTCCAAGACCCACCTCCTCGTCACCAACAGATGAGTCATATGACCCTCCAAAGGCCGAGCCACTGTTGGTCTGACCAAAGCCATGTCTCGCTGTGGTTAGGTCTCCGTGTCCAGTTATTCCAGAGATACCATGGCTTCTTCTTCCCCCTCTTGGAGAGTCATTTGGTGACACGCTGCTGGGGGTAAGAACTCTGTGGGTGCCTCCTACTACGACGCCGCCCGGAGGAACAGAAGAGGTGGGGCTATGTTCTTTTCTTCCTGTTGCCAGAGATCCTGTCGGTGATACCCTACCGGGGATGCGTTCTGTGTGGCCACTTCTTACAACGACGTGGTTTATATTGCCTCTGTATCCTGTGCCTCCTACACCAACCCCTCCCGAGTCAGCCTGGCGGCAAGTTGCGAGGAGGGTCACTCCAAGGGCTAGTAGATGAAGATTCTGAAAGGAATTTTAGAACAGTCTGAAATTTTTTACGAACCTCGAGATGAAAAGATTAATAATTTAATCCAAGTATCAGGTGAATAATTACCATACACACTGTGTTGGCCCACCACCCATACAGCCTGTATCATTATTCACCAAACTTCCATATCTCCATCACTCTTCCTTTCACCTCTCCCACTGCCCTCCATAAAGACATTAAATACGCATTATGACATTATACATCCTCGACGTTACCAAACTTTTACTTAGATATAATTATCCTCATTCCCCTCCCCCCACACACACATGATAGCGCAATATGTCATATCCGGAGATCCCAATACAGTAAAGCTGGTGCCAATCCTCACCATATTGACGCAGACACCCGACTGGCTGATGAGACATGGATGAACTACCTTTTATAGGCCCTTCCCCTAGCCACATTTTCGGGAAGTCACGGATGATGATGATGATGATGTCTAGTGGAAAGACTATTTTTTTTACCTTACTGATGAATCTCATGTTCTAAAAAATGTATATAGGTAATAATGTTTTTTCTTTGGGTTTATTTATCACTAGATAACTTTATACAATGATTCGTAAGGAAATAAGGATGACTGAAGCTTATTGCTAGTGATCTTGTGACCTTTCGTGAGTACTAAGAGACATTAATCGTTTGTCAAGGGTCTCGTGCCTTTCCTCACCACTAGGAGGAGGAGGTGGAGGGAAAGGTAGAGACATCATTTTCTTCCTCGTTGTTAGAATATTCACCGTAAACTTTTACTCATGGTTTAAGTTCCAACTATATGCCTTTAAAAATATATAATATGCTGATATATGAAGAAATTATAATATATAAAACTAATGCGGTATAATTATCTCGTCATTCAATAAGATATAAAGCCATAGACCTAACATGGGAGTCAAGACGCCTGTCCAAATTACATAGCAGCACCTTCTCTTACAATCAAATGAATAAGAGAAATATGAATTACTTAACAATACACATAAACAGACTGGTGGTATAATATTGACGTAGAACAGCATACCTAAGCTATCTGGTAATATCCACAAGTGGTTAAGTGTGCGTTACTATAACCACCTAATGTACTGTAAGAAACTCTACCTATTGCCTAATACTAGAGGACTGTCAGGAAGCGTCTTTGTACAAATTGATTTATAAAATGATGAAACTGTGAAAAAAAAATGTGATTCTTGGTGTTTTTTTTTTTTTACTGCAATAATGAAATATAAGAATAGGAGATCTTTAACTATGAAGTGGGAGATCTTCAACAATGATAGTGGGAGACGTCCAATTATACACGAGTTCCCCAACAATAAAACAAGAGATCTCCAACAACAGTATGGGAAATCTCCAACAAAAATATAGATGATCTTCAACAACAATTACTAAAGTCTCCAACACTTAAAACAAGTTCTCTAACACGTAGCTTTACACACAGAAGCACAGACCCAGATGGAAAAAGATAAACGCTCACTCTACTGAACACACACCAGAGACTAACGTGATGTGGTTAACTAAAAGAAAAATTATAGGTTAATAAAAACTTATTTCTCCCCAATTTTCCCCCTATTTCCTTCTATTAAAATCTTGCGGATGACAACATAAGACAATTACAATTATACCCATCCAATTACAATCACGTATAACTCATTACCAAACGATTCAGTATAATTACTTCTTGTGTAATCTAGCAGGCGATTGGTATACGGAGTTAGGAAATTCGTGTGATAAATATTAGTCTTCAGTAAAGGTGTCTACGAATGAATGCTACCTGGAAATAAGACTCCTGGTAATACTCATACAAAGAAGGCTTATAGTAGAGGTTATATTTACACAAAGGTTGCACCAGTAGATACGCTAGAATGCAGGAAGTCAATAGCGAGAGTATAAATTTGCTTACACTAGCACGAATAAGGTTAATAGTAATGAATATACCTTTTTAATTGCACCTTAGCATATGTGTGTGTGTGTGTGTGTGTGTGTGTTCTCTCGCTTATGATTGGTATTCATTGAGCATTCTGACACAGTAAAAGTCTCAGGAAACTTGGGACGTGATTGAACTTAGGAGGGAGAGAGAGAGAGAGAGAGAGGGGAGGGGGAGGATAAAGAAAGATAAACAAGATAACTAGAACTACGATTTAGCTTTTCACACATTCACTTTCAGACATTCACTGTCACATTCACTGTCACATTCACCGACACACATTCACTGCCACACTTTAACTGTCACACATAACTGTCACACATTCACTGTCACACTTTAACTGTTACACTTTAACTTTCACACATTCACTGTCACACTTTCACTGTTACACATTCACTATCACACTTTCTGTTACACGTTCACGGTCACACTTTAACTGTCACACGTTCACTGTTATACTAATAATGTTTCACGTTCGCTGTCACGTTCGCTGTCACACGTTCGCTGTCACACGTTCACTGTCTCATTTTAATTATCACACATTCACTGTTACACTTTAACTGTTACACGTTCATTGTTACACTATTAATGTTACACGTTCATTGTCACACATTCACTGTCACACTTTAACTGTTACACGTTCACTGTTACACTATTAATGTTCCACGTTCATTGTCACATGGTCACTGTCACACAGTGGTCAGTTAATGGCGTCAACAGTGGTGTAGATTACATTCATCCACAATAATTTGGCTGAGTCATTAAGAGGCGTGAGGGAGGAAGGTCAGTGAAGGAGCAATGCTTACGCTCTTCTCTCTCTCTCTCTCTCTCTCTCTCTCTTGGAGGTAAGATTTTGTGTGTGTGTGTGTGTGTGTGGAAAGAGAGATAAAACACCAAGAAGACAACATCAGGTCCAAATAACAACACCTCCATGGACTTGTGTAAGACGCACCACCTCCAACAGTCAAGCAGAACTTTGAGTCTACACAGTCTACCCGTGTACTCGTATATGCCCAGTTCATACAATTGGGCCCCAGTATGTATGTATGTATCACAGCATATTTACCTGTAACACATTAAAGTATGATTGGCGGTGCGTTTTTGCCAATTAGGTTTTTTTTTTTGAGGGGGTACAACTTAATGGATACTAATTCGTTTACGGTAAAATTTGTTCTCTTTTGCTTCAGATGTCATTTGCCATCAGTGAAAGAAGGTTAATCAGAAGTTACTACCTCTTCCCCCACCCATCAAATACAAAGAAGTTATCCGTATTTAGTCATGATTTGGATGACGTCAATTGATTATATTATTTGATTTCATTGTTTCCTTTTGCCATATTAATACTGTACATGAGCGTGTTTCGTTTCTCTGAGCATTTTTTCTAGTGATTGTTGTGATAATGGTTACTGCGATAACTGATACATTACCTAATGGCATAGGCGCTATAGAGTAAGTGGTAACATTTTCATTATTTGTCCCAGCCTTCGTATAACGTACACTCGCAACAAATAGTATCGGTGCATACTGTAGTGTGAACAATTTGAGACCAGTGACGATAGGTATTGGGAAAGGCGAGTTGTTCCAGCCGTATGTTGGCAGCCCTGATTGTCAGCCATATGGTAACACCTAGTGGAGGGGGGGGGGGGGTTATGAGGATACACTTACCAACCTTCCCGACATATCACAGTGTATATGTATCGTTTCGGAACTCGTCGATCTCACCCTGCACCGATACTTTTTGGTGCAAGTGTACATTTATGATACATGCAGCAGTGAGCCCTAATGCAGCAGTCCTGTCAGTGTCAGTACAGTATATACACCATTGTACCCAGTGGCCTCATTAATACACTTTTTTCACCATCGCGTCTCTCATTTATTACACTAAGTACACAGCTGGCCATATAGTGACCTCTCTGCTGTAGTCAACATAAAATAAAACACCCATTAATGTATACATCAATATATATGGATATATAACCTTTTCTTGCAAGATATCATAAACAAAGTTGCTGTATGTTGTTCACGTACGGTATTGACAATCGATGAAGATATTAGTAAACATTTCTTTTTCTATTAGCAACAAAAACCTATGGAATGATGTTTGATAACCCTGGTTAGGTTAGGTATTTATCGTCTTGGTTTACGTTATTTTCTTTACTGCTGAAAGTATGAAATATTCAAACCCAAAGTAACCTAACCTAACCTACACAAACCTGCCCTAATATCGTCAGGTTGGGTTTGATTAGGATTTATTTACACTATATTTCCAAAGGTAACAAAAAAAAGAGCAGTTAATCAGCGGTTGGATAATAACTTACGTCGAAAATTGGACCAATCAGAGACGTGGCTGATGTAGTGAACAGCAGCAACAGCAACAAAATCTCAATACGCTTTTCTATCTTCCACAGTCTGACTCCAAATTCCCACTTTCTATGTTCTGTGCACTAGTGAGTCGTCATTCCCCAGTGGTCAAGGTCACACGGCTGTAAAACGCGAGGAAATGTGAATAAGCGGAAATATTACACTTTCCTGCGTTTATAGCGATAATTTCCACCAGTTCTTGTCTTAGTTGCTGGATATATTTCATTAATAATATCCTTAACTCCTCACTGTCTTTTGTATTACTTTTCTTTACCATTATCCATCATTATTATCATTATTATTATTATTATTATTATTATTATTATTATTATTATTATTATTATTATTATTATATTTTCGCCCCCAGGCCCTGATATGGGTCAGTGACCTGTGCCCGGGTATATTTCAAAAAAATATATATATATATATATATATATATATATATATATATATATATATATATATATATATATATATATATATATATATATATATATATATATATATATATACAGTACATATATGTTTATTTCATATTACTGTATCACTTTTAGGTATTTCTGTCCTACTTGAGACGAACATAGACTCTTGAATTTTTTGTGCACACACGCACACACACACACACACACACACACACACACACACACACACACACACACACACACACACACACACACACACACTAAAACTCATTCCAATATCTCTATAACAACAAGTTCAAGAACGCACATACACTTTTTGGGGTGATTTTTTTTGCCCATCATCGAAAACTTATTTAGCAAAAAATACACAAGTTTTCTTTTGTTGGTCAAGAACTTGATAAACGTTAAAGGCAAATGAAAAGGGTAATTACTTGGACAAGAATATAAACAACGTAAATTATATTAATAGATAATGGACAGATAGATATACCTTTAGCTGGTTTCATTACCATATGTATCATACTGTCTCTATCAACAACAGAAAGTTAGATAGAATACTATTGTCTCTGTGAAGGTTTCTCCCTTAAATACGGTTCAATCAATCGATAGATGAACAGACAAATAAGTAGACACTTTAACAGATACAAAGATAGATGGGTAGAGAGATAGACGAACAGTTACATAATTAATAGATAAACGGACAGCCATAGTGTCAAACATACTGTAGCTCGACGGGAGACAACCTTCATTGCGAGACCTCTTACATAACCCGGATTTAACAATATGTTTTGTCAGATAATGGTGTTACAAAACAGGCACACACACACACACACACACACACTTTTATTGTCACAAAAGTTCACAGAGTTTGGAAATATATAACAAATTCTTAACATTGCCTTTGGGTAATTTTCTCAAGATAAGACTTTTTAAAGATGCTTAATGTTTAGAGAGTCTGATATTACCTGCCTTACCGGACTGACTAATGGGTGGATCACCTGAAGAATAAATACCCCAGTTTAATTCACTTAAAGATAAGCCACCCTAACGCTAACCTACCTAACCTATATAACCTAACCAAACTTAACAAAACCTCTTCTAACATATCCTAATCTAGTAACTTAGCCTAATCTAACCTAACCAGCTACCTAACCTAACTTAACCTAACCTAACCTAACCTAACCTAACCTAACCTAACCTAACCAAACTAAACAAAACCTATTCTATCATATCCTAACCTAGTAACTTAGCCTAATCTAACCTAACCAGCTATCTAACCTAACCTAACCTAACCTAGCTGCCTCAGGTAGCGCTAAAGTGACTAGTAATCTTCTGGTGAATTAAGCTAGGTTGTCTGATATTCAGGTGCCCCAGATTTTTTTTGTTTTTGGCAAATGGGGGATTTTGTTTGCCTCCTTTTCCATGTGGTGATTAAAGCAATATGCCATGTAGGCCTCTGCGTCACACGTTACTTGCAGGTTAAAATAGTGAACCACACTGGTGCTGACGTAACATATGATACACTTGCTGAGAGCGTTAACCTATGGCTTCAGTCACGTGTTTCCGCCCTCATATATCAGAGACTTGGTACATTCGGTATATTTCTTCCGTCTGGATATCTGTACAAGCAGCTCAGTTTGACCGGTTATCATTAGCATCTATACGTGTTTGTGAAAATTGTTTTGTTATTATTTTTCGAGAATTTGGAGGTCTTCATGTGGGTCACCCGCTTTCCTCTTACGCAAGACAATGACGAAGCTTTCATAAAACATTCTGAGAGAGACCTTCAACACATACCACCTTGTTCATTCTCTTACCTTTTGTACTGAGAGAGAGAGAGAGAGAGAGAGAGAGAGAGAGAGAGAGAGAGAGAGAGAGAGAGAGAGAGAGAGAGAGAGAGAGAGAGAGAGAGAGAGAGAGAGAGAGAGAGAGAGAGAGAGAGAGACCCGAATATTTAAAGATCGCGAAGAAAAACACTGACTACACAGTATTATATTTTGTCTCTTTTATAACAATTCCAACATTATCAATCAATGTCAGGCTCTGAAGCACCTCAGGCCATTACAGCAGAACTAATATTTTCATTACGTAACACAACACAATACTCACTCACTAAAATACACTGTCAGACGTAAAAGCACACTTCTTTCATAAATATATTCCATTGGTTAAATCACCTTCCGAGAAACTGCTATATCGCAAGTATTTTTTTTCATTGGTTACTCGCCTGTATGTCTTGTTGTATTGATTATATGAAATAGTAAACACCAGTAATATAAATCAATTAGGATCACCTGAAGATTAGCCCCTCAGCTTATTTCACCTGAAGATCAAACACCCTAACGCTACCTGAGGGAGGTTAGGTTAGATTAGGTTAGGTTAGGTTAGGTTAGGTTAGATTAGGTTAGGGGTCTCATCTACCACCTTATTACAGCCAGACACACAACGTGGGCTCCCAATTAAGAATCGTGGTGGTCGTAAAAGGTGAATCAAGTTTTAAAGTCACGTCAGTAGTCATTGTAGCATTACATGTCATACTGTAATTCATTTCGAATATCTTACATGTTTTTTTTATAAGAGGTAAGATGGACTGACAGACAGACGAACGGACAGACGGACGGATGGAGAGACAGACAAACAGACAGACAGACAGACAGACAGACAGACAGACAGACAGACAGACAGACGAACGGACAGACAGACAGGCAGACAGACAGACAGACAGACAGACAGACAGACAGACAGACAGACAGACAGACAGACATTCAATGAAATGTCACACAGGCTCACATTACCTCAGCAAGTTCATAGTTAGAGCGGGTATACATAGACTAGCAATCAATGTGTCGATATAAACAATGAGTTGCAAGAGTTCCACGAAATCTAAAAGCTAAACTTATTTTTAGTTAAAGTTTTTTGTGAGAGTTTTGTAATGAATTGTAATGATACTTTTTGTTTTTAATATAAAAGTTAGAGAAGTAAGACAAAGTTACATTTCTTGATTAGATGTTTAAAGAAATTACAATATATTTTACAAACATTCTTACTGAAACTGTAAAACAATTATCAATTACATTTTAAAATAACCTGTAAAACTATAATCATTTTTTAAACGTAATAAAAGTGTCTCATTTGCTATTGCATTTTAACATAACTAAACCACTACTTTCACCATTTTCCTATTGATCTGTGAGTATTAGTCAGAAGAGTCTTAGTATTACCACAGGGGGAGGTGAAACCAAAATGAAATATCATGTGTACTTAATAATATATTACCAAAAGTACAAAAAATAAATAATGGTCGCATATGAGGTGAATTATATATGAACTATTAGATCTAGTGAGGATTTTTAAAGAGGCAGGGACAGACAGGCAACGGCAGAGATACAGACAGAAATAGAGAAGCATAGATAAACAGAAAGACAGACAGACAAACAGACAGACAGAGAGGAAAGAGAGAGAGAGAGAGAGAAATCATCATATACAACCTATGTAACTATATTGCTTAATAAAACAAAACAAAATTCTTTGGGGAGAAAGAGAAAGAAGAATAGAGAGAAAAAAAGGGGCAGAGAGAGCATAAATCCCCATACACAATAATGTACAAATATAATACTCAATCTAATCAAGACATCATTGGGGACATTGAGAGAGAGAATTAGCTGTCGCACGTGATCAATAATATTGTGGTTGAGGCAATTATGTTTGGTGGCGAGGCGAGGGAGAGAAATGCTCACAGTATAAGAGGATACATCATCTTGGGAGTGAAAAGGAGACTTATTTTCCATATCCTGGTGGACCTACAGGGTGAAAAGGACCATATAGGTTTCCAGAACCAAACCTTCCCGAGTCAAGGGGTCCTAGGGAGCTCCTGGAACCATAGACCCATGGGGAATGAGCATCATATAATCCCCTAGAATCTGGAGAATGAGCAAGTAGGGATATTGTACCCGAGCCGTACACACCAGCAGACAGATCACTTAAAGGGGTGCTGCCATAGGTGACAGAAGGACTACCATGGGCAAGCCTAGAGCCACTACTAGTGTGACCTGCCAGAGGACCTCCGAGATTGAAGTGATTTACACTCGTCGCTCCACCAGACCCGTAGCGGTGATGGACGACGCCTCCACGACCACCACGTCCATGTCTACTTCCTCGACCTCCATATCCTCCACTAAAGGGGTTTCTATTCCCTCCCCCATATCGTTCACCAATAGGGCCCCTATTTCCACCTACGACACCCCCTCCATGTCCATCACCGATAGGGCCGAGGATACCTCCGTGCCTGTTTCCAAGAGAATTTCTCACAGGTCCCCTTCCGTAGAAAGACACAGGCGAAAAGACGCTTCCACCTCCGTGCCCTCCAGCGTAAGACAGAGGACCTGGAGCAGCATATCCTCCTCCTCCTCCCCCTCCTAGGAATATATGGTCGTCCCGTCTGTCGAAGAAGAGCGCCCCTCCGTCGTGTGTGCCTCCCCCTCCACGGCCACGACGACCATTAAAGCTGCTAGGGCGTTCTCCATAATCATCTCTGAAGAGCTCCGGTATTCCCACAGCCTCACCTCGTTCAGTCACCACCACCAGTAGTAACACAGTAATGTACACGACATGCTGGAAGTAGGAGAGTGTAGGTCTTGTTACAGAATCTCGGGCAGGGAAACTTTCTATACAGATATCACTGATTTTATTGTACCTATTGAGAAATCTGTATATATATTACGGTTCTAGATTTAACAAGGAATCGCGACACTGATCCCAAAGGTAAAATAGACAAAATATACTCGGCATTTGTTCCCCACTAATTAACAGCGACTCGGAGCTTATCAGAATACAAAAATACATTATACATTTATTTTTAAGATAACAAAATAAATAAATAAATAAATAAATAAATAAATAAATAAATAAATAAATAAATAAATATATATATATATATATATATATATGTATATATATATATATATATATATATATATATATATATATATATATATATATATATATATATATATATATATATATAGGCCTATATATATATATATATATTGATAAAATCACACGGGAAAAGAAAAAACAACGGAGCACCTTAGCTTTCATCTTTATTCAAGACATCTTCAGTTGCCTCTGAAGATGTCTTGAATACAGACGAAAGCTAAGGTGCTCCGTTGTTTCCCTTTTCCCGTGTGATTTTATCAAGATTTATCTTATCCACGTTTTCATTGTGGATCTACATGAAATATATATATATCACTACAACTCTGAAAGTTAATAAAAATATATGATTACTTTTTCCTCATTAACACATCACCGTATCCAGACGTCGACTCCACCACAACAAGACTTACCATCACGACGCCCCGGGGGAACTCAGCAGCTGCCCAGCCCTGCTCTGCCTTATATAGCACATCTGTCGTTCATTTTCTCAGTCATAATAACAAAAATGTGGACAATCAGGTGTTATGAGCTGAGGTTATGACCGACCTTGCCACAGTGACTCCCTGACCCCCGCCACTTTATCGTCTAGCTTAATGACATACATGAACTTTTATGAGTTGCAAAAGTGAGAGAAAAGTAGCACAATACTTATGCTCAATGTAGCTATTGAGATGTTAACATGAGATTTAATATGAGATGGACGGAAATATATTAAATAGCTCTGCTAAGTACGTCCTGTCGATACGATAGTTGAGTGAGAATGAGCAGGGATCCATCGAGGGAGTACGGAACCATTCACGATGGCTCTCAAAACCGTCTTCCTCTAGTGAGTGATAATGAACAACTGGAACGCACTTTCCTTGCAAGATCATTCTGAGACGCTGGAATAGTGTTTCCGACAGCGACGAGAATCTTGTGAAGGGTTCTGAACCGCTGCCACCTTATGAACTGCGTCCTTTGACCGTTGATTCCTTCTGGGTTAATGAGGCTGGAGCATGTAAATTATATAGGGTTTTAGTAGCCAAACCCAATTGCCTGTTATCTATTTATTGAGGAACTATCTCAGATACAGTTCCAAGAGTATATCACCGTAACTTAATCACTGTAGCTATGAGTGTTACCATGAGGACGGAGGCTATGTTAAAGAGCTCTTCTAAATACGTCCGGTTGGTGTGAGGTGTTGAGTGACAATCCCATAATACCCGTCAAGGGAGAACGGTAATATACGTCCTCCCTCGAGGGAAGACGGAACCATCCACGATGGCTCTCACGACTTTCCATGGGCACACCTTATCACGTGCTCTGAACATGCTACCTCATAGCTAGTGGAAAGTTACAGAGGGTGATAGAGTATATAAATCAAATGTAATTAACCCATTTATATAATACGTACTTCTGCCTATAAGACAGGGGCTATTACAGCACTAACAAATAAATTTGTGTAACACATTATCAGTTTTGTACTGACCATCACTAAGGTTTATAGAATTCATTTCCCAAATCAGACTTACTTCAACTAGAAGTCTTTCTGTGACACATGATGATTTATCCACTTCTAAACTGTTTTCTCAATCCATGGGATGATTATTGTTTCTTATATGAACGAAAAGTGAACTGCCTTCAGTTGCTGTTCTAATATTATACTTGTTTTGTTTCATTCTGAGTTGTAATGCTTTCCCAGTGTGACCAACTTAATTTCCATTACAATTACTACACGGAACTAACGGGACAAATTCATGGCATAAGATGGAGTCAAAATATTTTTATATATAGGAATTTGTCTTGTATGAGTACAATAAAAGGATTTTTTTAGCTATTTTAAGACAACGATCAACAAACAACGAAAGGTGGCCAAGCTTTTATGCAAATATCTCAAAAAATAGCAGAAAAAATTACATTTTGGAATTCAAGGTGACTCGATAAAAAAATGATAAGCATATAAAGAAAAGGAAGGGGTCCATTTATTTCTCTTTCAATTTTGAAGGTAATACTAGCTAAGGTGCTCCAGTGTTTCCCTTTTTCTGTTTGGTATTGTCGAGATTTATCTTGCCCACGTTTCCATTGTGGATCTGCATGATATATATATATATATATATATGTGTGTGTGTGTGTGTGTGTGTGTGTGTGTGTGTGTGTGTGTACACTCGCGGATGAGTGTATCTTTAATAGCGACGGTTTACTACGAGATAATGAGGTAAAAACTTTTTAGTGGTCATAATGGTTTATTAATAACCAATAAATACTCGTATTTTTCTTGTGTTCCTCACGGTGATATAATAGAATGTGACCTATATTTTCGGCGTTGGTGTATATTTATGGTGATACGACAATGGTGTTGTAAAAAAATGAGCAGGACTTGATCACGACCGAATTTTTATCAATAGTACTTCTTGGTAATACAGTACTATTATAATATCACTTATAAATACAGACATCCAGAAATAATAACAAACACAGCCTATCTATTAATACAGCTCTCGTAGTGTAGTGGTTATCACGTCTGCTTTACACGCAGAAGGTCCCAGGTTCGAGCCCTGGCGAGAGCACTTTTCAGTTTTGGTCAAGACAGCAGAACAGGTTTATCTGCTTATGGAGTATGATGTTGCGAACTCCAATTGTTATTTAGTTATCAGTAACGAGAACGAGCAGAACCTGACACCGTGTTATTATAATTATTATGTCCCTCAAGGTTTACTGAAACATTCAGTTTCTCAGGTGTGTGTGTGTGTGTGTGAGAGTAATAATAATAATAATAATAATAAGTAACGGTTTATTGAAAATGTTTAGCAGCCCAAAGGCTGAAAATATACATAAGACAAAAATGACTTATAACATACAAAGACATTGGGTAGGTGGGTCGTTTAACAAAAGTGTTCATTACTAAAAGGAGAAGGAACATGAATTGAACATACAAATTATTAAATTTTGCAGTTCATGGTCCGGGCTGGTCTCTTGCCATACTGTGTGAGGTCACGTAGGCCACGTGTGTGTGTGTGTGTGTGTGTGTGTGTGTGTGTGTGTGTGTGTGTGTGTGTGTGTGTAATTGACCACATGATAAAAGATTGGACCAATACCGTCAGATACCGGCGAGCTAACTGATAACGACGGAGAAATGAGCAATAACAATAACCTGAATAGATATTCTTCAACAATTTTCACCACCGAAAACTTAAACATGATACCCGAGGCACCGACTGTATACAGAGATAGTGAAGAAAATAGATAAAGCGAGATAGTAGTGACTAGTAACGATGTTAGTAAACAAATAGACAAGCTGAAGCTTAATAAGTCACCAGGTCTCCATGAGATATTTGCCAAAGTATTAAAGGAATGTAAGGAAGAGCTTAGTATGGCCTTAGTAAAGTTGTTTAACATGTCATCAAAAACGGGTGTAGTACCAGAATCCTGGAGGATAGCGAATGTAATACCGATTTTCAAGAAGGGAGATATTTCACTATCCTCTAACTAATTTCCAATCAGTTTAACATCAATTGCAGGCAAATTACTGGAAGCAATAATTTCAAACTCTATTCGAAATCACCTGGAGACGCACAAGTTGATCAATGAACCCCTGATTATTGTATTAATAAAGTTGACATTAGAATAAATCTGAGTTACACCAAGAAATAGTTGTTGTTGTCGTTACAGTGCTTCAACAAGTAAACTCATCAATAATCTAGCTAAAGATTCACCAAACGATAGACATCAACACTTCGTGATTAAAAGTGAAATATTTTGCTGTGTGTTGGTAAAAGGTTTATATTATAGAAAATTATATTTTAAAGTAACACTAAATAATTTCGAGAGTCAACCTACGATGAAACGCGGTTTGACATTTGGCTGATTTGAGTTGGCAATATCTGTGTGGCCATCAATCAGCTGACTGGAGGTAAACATCTCCCTGGTCCAGCGACATAAAGCAAGTTAACCGTCGTTCACTTCCCTCAGATAAGAAACTTATCGCCGATGATACTAGTAACATAGTGACGTCTGTATCAGGTAATATAAATGAAATGACCATAACATGTTGTAGGCAGAATATATTTTATGATTTTTTTTTTTTTTGTTCATTGAGAAATTAATAACCAATATGTGTTTTTCTTATGTTTTGGTGGTGATTTAATAGAATATATAAACGCCTTGGGAATAAGGACGTTCAGGTGACGGGCAAGTCAAAGGGAATGATTGAAACCCGTCTGTTGACGCATTCAATATTTATTGATGTGGTCAAAACCTGCAGAGAACAAGGAGTTCATTAGTATTATATGGTGATCTATCTGATACATAATTAGTTAGTCTCACACAATTTGTTATAATTGATTATTGAGTATAGTGACATAACACAAAGTTCATAACTCTATTAGTCTTAGCTTCGCTTCATTCTGCATTGTCTTATTACTCCAAGTTAGGCAGAAACGAGTAGACGTAATTAGTCAACAATATTTCAGTACCGAGGGGTACTTACAAGTGCGGGTCAATGCAGATCAGTATGGTGTTCCAAGAGACAACAGTACTGTGTAAATTGTCTCAGCACAAATTCTTGGACAGGATTGTGTGGTGTTTAGCAGTGCGAGCAGAGGGTTGATCCTTACAGCATAACTCGAGGGCTGGTCCTCCCAGCATCACTCGAGTGAGCGATCTCCTGGAGTCCAGGCGGCCACGCCACCGTTTTAAACCATTCGTTTAACAGAATCAGGACCTCTTGTCTGTAAACACCGCCCACCCCCCAATCTTTATTCGGGTAGGGCAGCAAAGGCCAGCACTCACACGCCAATACTCACTTGCCAGCACTGACGCTGGCGCTAAACGCCTCCCTGCCGCATCTGGCGAGGTCACAGGTAGCGTGGGGGCATCACTGGAGAGGGCGATCTGTGTCATGAGAGCCACGTCACCCCTTTACATTCAGCAGAATCAGGAACTTTTATCAGTAAACACCGCCTCCCCCAGTCGCCACATCTCACGAGGCAACAGGCCGCGGTGGGGGGGCGCTGAGAGATCCAATGTTTGTTCGATCAAGGCAGCGATCGTCAACAACTGACACCAGCATTTATAAGCCAACAGAATATGACCTTTATATTCGCCACTCATGTATATTTATGGAGATAGGACAATGACTGTTTACAAAATAGGCAGAGCTTGGTCACTACCGAATCCTTACCAGTAATATTTTGGGGTAATAAAGTACTATTATAATATCAGTTATAAATACAGACATCCAGAATTAATAACAAATATAGCCTCTAAGTTACCAACGCTCTCGTAGTGTAGTGGTTATCACGTCTGCTTTACACGCAGAAGGTCCCAGGTTCGAGCCCTGGCGAGAGCAGTTTTCAATTTTGGTCAAGACAGCAGAACAGGTTTATCTGCTTATGGAGTATGATGTTGCGAACTCCACCATTTATTGTTTAGTTACCAATAACAAG